TATATATTAAAAGTTAGTAATTATGATAATATTCATGTAATTTTAAAAATTTAATTGTGATGCATGTAAAAATTAGTGATTGGATGTTAGATATCTAAATGCAAAAAAGTTGTATGGTATATATGTAAAGTTTGAAGGCTTATAACTTTGTGCAAAAATTGAATCTATTTTGGATTTATTTGGCTTTCAATTAAACTTAAAAACAAATTAATAAATTTTGAGCTGATTTATGAATATGCATCTCAATTCAATATTTTTTTAAGGCTTTTTTGAGTATTATGCATCTTTTTATATTCTTTATTTACGTGGTACCGCACATTGATGCTTTATTAGCTTCGCTTTCTTTAGCAATATGAGAGAGTGATCTTATCATGGGCACTTACTCGGAACTTAATGGTTGAGGGTTTGAATTTTTTACTTTGAGGTCGTGGGTTCGAATTCTGCATGCTGCCCTTTGGCCTCAACTTTTCCCAAAAAATAAAAAAGATAGTGACCTTAACTATTTTAAAAATGTTTAACATATTTTAAATTTAGTATATCGAGTGATTACATAAATAAAAGATGAATAATTATCCCGTATCTAAAATTTATATATTTAAGAAAATATCACTCATATCACTCGTTCGAATTACCAAATAAATATAAATTCACATGTCTGCACATACCATTGTCAAAGAACAATTGAATAAAAGTTAGAAACACCGGTTATATGGTTTTATTGTGAATATTGACTAGAATATTACCCTCAGAATGTCACCAATATATCACAAGTAAACCACGAGAATTTCATTAGAATAAAAGAATATAACTACCAAAATACTACAATAAAACCACAAGAATATCATCAGAATACCTCAAGAATGCCTCCAAAATATCACCATACTAGAATTATAATACCACTAAAATATCATAAGAATACCACAAAAATATCACTATAATACAACCAGAATATAACAAATATACCGTTATTATATTTTCAGAATATCACTAGAATAACACCAAAATACTACAAGAATATCATAAGATACCACGATAATATCACAGGAATATCACAAGATACTCACAAAAATACTACAAGAATGTTATCAAAACACTACAAGAATATCACCAAAATATTATCATAATGCAATCATAATACTACTTAAATATGATAAAAAAATCACAAGAATACCGATAAAATGCAAGTATAATGTCAACAGAATATAATGTTAATACAACCAGAATATAATAAATATATCACCATAATAGAACTATAATACCACTAATATATATCTAAAATAATATCGAAATAACACTTAAATATCATCAGAGAATCACAATTATATTATGATAATACAACTCAAATTTTTTTTTTTTTATGTAACAGAGCATGTTCGGGGAATCAACCGCTCGTCGTATAAAGTAATTCTTTAGTCGGAGAAACTGATTAAGCTAACATAGGATGATTGCTTGGAATTTGCAGAATGGCGATGTAAATTAAGCTAAATTCAAAATTAAGCTAAAAAAGGTCGCCTTTTTTACGACGGATCACCGTTGCGGCCTACAGAAACGCGAAACTCCCATCTTTCTCCTCCTTCCGCTCTGCTCCTATACGAAACCATGGAGGAGGAAGGTAGCTGCACATCTACATCTACCTTTTCGCACGAAGCGCCCCTGATCTACTAAATCCGTCGCCGTAGCCTCATATTTCAGCTGTCGTACATCGCCGAATCATTTTCCGTTCTTCTTTTCGGCTCCTAATCGACGGAGCCCCCATCACCGGTATCTGACTTAACCTTATTTTCCGGATCCGCCCTCCATCTCGCGTCCAAATCGATTTATTAGCTGATCTTCTCTGGCCTATCCACCGATTGGATATTGTTCATCCATGGAAGAATTTCATTTTCAAAATTGTGGCGCAATTCTTATCGGATTTATAGTATCAATAGTCCTGATTCGACTCTCGTATGTGTTGTACTGGAGTGGCAGACCTATCAGGACTGCGTCGCAGCGTGTCAGCACCCTAATTGTTCTTGGTTCAGGTGAAAAAAGGAGAAAATTTTCTTTTTTTTTTTCTTTTCTTGAAGCTTTTTGCGTTTGGATAGCTCGTATTGAATCGGTGATGGAACTTGAGCTATGTGTTTGAAGGTGGGCATACTGCGGAGATGCTTAGCATTGTAAATGCACTCGAGAAGGAGAGGTTTGTACCTAGAATTTACATTGCGGCTGGCACAGATAACATGAGCCTTCAGAAGGCTAGGGTTCTGGAGGAGTCCCTGATTCAGAAGGGAGAGGTGGGTCTTTTTTCAACGCATTAGAGTACTTTGTTTCAAGGTTTGAGCGAAATATTTTCATTGACAATTGCGCTATATGCTCGTGTATGACATAATAACTTAAGCTTGAAGGTCTTAATAGTGCCTTGAGTTCTTGCTATTTTGTGTTTTTTGCTATGTTTTGTTACTTTTAGGAATTTAGGGTATGTTTGCTTGCAAGGTTCAGGAAAGATTTAGGCTCACATTATCAATCATTTTTTAGCCATTTAAATCCTTTTAACTTATTAAATACCCTTTTACTTCTCGTTTTAGACTAAATGTAGGATTTAGTAAATATTGGGATGTAGATTTTAAGAGTTCTCACTACTTTTCGCTATGTCTACTACTCTCTTCCATTAAATTTTAAATATTGAATATATCTATCAAACAATTCACTATAATTTAACCTGTTTTATGATACATGTAGTAAATTTTTTTTAGGATTTTATGCCTCTAGGATTTACTACAATTTGATTAATAAGTTTCACTAAATCTTACTTAAATATTTAGTTGTGTTTGGAGCCAAATAACTCCTTAACTTTAAGCACTTTATGATCTGACTAAGAGTGCCAGCTGGAATAAAAATTGTAAACAAATCTCTGTTATTTAAGGACAATAGAGGCCTTGTATTTGTAAATAATTACAATTAAGTGAGCTGACTTTTACTGTCATGCAATCCCATATGTGATGTGATAATCACATATCTTCATGCTTTGACATAAATGATGGATTTGTTGAATTTATCCACTTATATTCATTAACTGCAACATTGAGAACTTACCATTTTGCTGCGAACATTATCAACGGTTTAGTTGCATTTGATTGTATATATGTATGGATTGATATAATCTTTTTGTTAATTATTAAAAAATTCAATTAAAGTATGATTGGCCTAAGAAAAATATTGAAAACATGTCTTTGCAGATCAGCAGTAATAAAAACATGAAAGAGGCTGCATATTTTAAGCAAATTTATCGTAGCAGAGAAGTGGGTCAGTCGTATTTGACCTCTATTTACACAACTTTGGTCGCAATATTGCACGCTTTGTGGCTGATGCTGCAATTCAGGCCTGAAGTAGTATGGCATCCTACTGTTGTTGTTGAACTTCTGAAAATATCTTGGGTCATTTACACATCCACCCAATTCCTATGTATGTACATATCAGACACTTAAAATTTTTCTTTTACATTTATGAAGGAAACAATGCAGTTTAAAAAGATGTGGCCAACCCCACTTAGTGGCATAAAGGCTTGTCATTGTTGTTGTATATTTATAAAACCCAAATCATTCATATCACATAAAAAATACCACCAATTTAACTTATAAAAAACTGAAATACACCTTTTCATGCATAGGTAAGGTGGCATGCATGTAAATATTAAATGTTCAGGTGTTAGGTATATAAATACACAGGAATTGGGTGGCGTGTATGTAAATCTTCTAAAAAGTTATGCCTGATTGCATCATTTATTTTCTCAAAGTGGTGTTATATTTCTCCAGATTATCTGCAATGGACCTGGGACCTGCATTCCTATCTGTCTTGTTGCATTCATCTTCAAGGTTTGTATTGTTTTCAAACTATCCCAGTATTCTAGGTCTTTATTTTAACGGACTGAGACATGCAACATTAGAATAAAAAACGCAAAATTTCTTTTTTATCTATCCTTTTGTTTGTTTTTTTCTGATAAATTAATGATTTTCTGCACCATGTGTGCTGTAGGTAGTTGGTGTTAGATGGTCATCTATCTTTTACATCGAGAGCATTGCAAGAGTTAAGAGACTCTCTTTAAGTGGGTTCCTGCTTTACAAACTACACTTAGCAGATCAATTTTATGCCCAATGGCCTCAGCTTCAGATGGAGTATCAGAAAGCTCACTATGTCGGTTGCCTTATGTAAAGTGAATGTTGTCAGCGATGACATTTTTTGCTACTGTAAGTTGTTTATGGTTTGTCTACCGCCTTGTATTGTTTCAAAGTTTTGAGGAGTCTCAAGATGCACCATCCAATAGATGCATTATGATCGCAATTTCAAGTTTAAAAAAAAAAAAGAGAAAATGTTATGTGTTGTCTGAGTAAAAAACGGACATTCGATAGTTTTTTAGTTTCATGTACGTAAATGCGCCAAAAAAGGATATGATGTGCACCATCTCATTTATTAATAAACCTATTTTAGGTGTTGGCTTAGTTTGGTGAAATATAGCTTTATTATATCCATCTCAGAGAATATTCACAGATTATATCCTCATTATATTTGTTACTCGGATTTTTGTATAGTTCCACATTTACTGTACGGTTTAGATGCTTCTACTTCTTTCTGCCACCTGAATCTTACAAACAATTCCGTGCAATTTTGTGGTGAGTAAAGAATTACTGACCCTAAATGTCATCACTATGAATTGCAAGAATCATTTATTTTCTCTCATTATGGATTGGGTGATGATGATGAAATCTATCATGAAAGGCAATCTTGCCAACCTTATGGTCGAGTAGAAACTTCAGTAGATGTTGATTCAGTGATGTGTGTTATTCTTATCCTGTGGCATTGGAGAAGCTTGGATGGCCTGTGCATCTACTGTGGGTAGCCACTCCGTCCATTGTTACTGGTAGAGAATTGGTGGTTGTTGGATCTACCTGTTGTCTGAATGAAAACGAATCTGAACCCATTGTCTTTCCCCACTTTTTTTTTGTAAACAGATGTTTTTATATATTAAAACAGTTTAGTTGGGTTGCTGGACGAGCGTTGATTAATATGGAAGGATCCAAACCGGTCTCATATGCTTATCATCGAAATTTAGTTACGGGGTTACCACACTACTGAATAATTATTTAATATTTATTTTATAAAAAATTTGTTTATCATTATTTTTAAATTTGATCGTTAACAATTTAAATGCAAATTTGGGTTCAAATCAGTTTTAGGGGGCTTGAATTTTAATATGATCACTTAAATATTTGATTTTATCTCTTATTAGTTGTAATTTTATCCAAAATGGATTTTTAGCCATGTTTCTACAAATGAACATGTTTTGGGAATACTATATCATGTGGCATATGAAGTTTTTTATCTTTTTAATTTTTTATGCTTAATGGTGATTTAGATGGGGATGTTATTAGTACAATTCAGGTTGGATGTAGAACTGTAGGAATGCATCAGACCTATTGTGTGATAGAAAAGTGCCAAGAAAATGTTTTTAGATGGCGGTGAGATCCGAACCAGTCTCATATGCTTATCATCGAAATATAGTTATGGGGTTTCTACACTTTTGAATGATTATATAATATTTATTTTATCAAAAATTTGTTTATCATTATTTTTAAATTTGATCGTCAACATTTTGAATGCAAATTTGGGTTCAAATCAGTTTTCAAGGGCTTGAATTTTAATATGCAGCCCTCAATTATTAGATGTTATCTCTAATTATTTGTGGTTTGATCAAATATGGATTTTTAGCCCTGTTTCTACAAATGAACATATAATGGGAATATTATATTATGTAGCATATGAATTTTTTTTTTATGCTTGATGGTGACTTAGATCGGGATGTTATTAGTAGAATTCAAATTGGTAGAAGTGGTGGAATACATCGGACCTATTGTGTGATAGAGAAGGATGTGGAAAAAATTATAGATGGCTGTGACTGGCAAATCTTTATGGCGCAGAATGTTGGCATGTGAAAGGGAAGCATAAAATTAAGTGTTGCTGATATGATAATGCTCGGCTGGATGAATGACTACACTTATGTTAAGAAAGAAAGAGGCACACGTAAGACTTTTTCAAGAAAATATTCTTTTGCTGGTATCTAGTTACATATGATTGAATCTTAAAATTCTGCTTTGTGCATCAATGATTGAATCTTAAAGTTCTGCTTTGTGAATCTTAAAGTTCTGCTTTGAATCTTAATGAAAATATTCTTTGTGCATCAATGAGAAGAAAATTTCATTTATTCTGAGCAAAATATAAATGTTTCGTTAGGATTTGTTCGATTTCGAAATTAAGGTCGTGTTTTTTTGAGAGGTTGGCTATCTGTCCCCTTTCTTTTAATTTGAAGTTTACAATTTATAGTCATTTCCTCCTACGGGCTTTCATGTTTTTCAGTTTGTAATGTTGGTTTTGCAGTTCTTTTTGTGCTTTTGTTGCATGTAATGTTGGTTTTGCAGTTCTTTTTGTGCTTTTGAATGCATGAATTGCATGAGAAAAAAGTAATACTTTTGGATTTGAATTTATAAATTTTAACTCTCATTGAAACTTGCTAAAACAGAAAGCGAACAATATTATTTCAAGTAAAACAACCAGCTCGGGTATTAATCTATGAGGGTGTTACTTGATCCTTGTGAGCACTCATTTGTGATAAAACATGTGATGTAAAGATCCACTCTGATTTATTACTTGACCTTTATAGAAGGATGTACCTTTGTGCATGCTTTTCGCTAGAGATATCTTTGTTATGGACAAAACTGAATATATGGTGATAGATGTAGCAGCGGGGTTGTAACAATGGTTGATCAAGACATTAAAAGAAGTGAACGTTTTAGATATCTCAGATTTATCGTTCAAAGTGATATAATGTTAATGGTAGAATTCCAGTTGGAAAGGGAATGCTTCGATTGTATCGTGTGATAGAAAAGTTCTGCTTATGTTTAAAAGGGAAATTTGTTGAGTTACTGGTGCGACCTACAGTGCTTTATGGAGCAAAATTTTGGCCTGTGTAAGAGAAGCATAAAATTAAGTGTTGTTGAGATGAGAATGTTCAGGCGGATGAGTGGTTTTACACTTTAGTGACAAAGCGAAACAGTTATAACCGTGAAAGGGTTTATGTAGCTCCAGCGGCCTTAATGATTATATTTTTTTATTTCTCTAAATTTTGCCAATTATGAGGCATATAAAGTCAAATATCCTTCTTCTCTCTCTATCTATCTAGAAATCTGTCCTCAATGGTCCTTTAGAGATATGCCCTCTTCTCCTGCAATGGCAATGACCGTGTCTTTTCAAATTTAAAGCTGAAATTTTTTTGTCCCGAGTATAAAATTTTATAGATGGTGGTGACCTGCAAATCTTTATGGCACATAATGTTGGCATTGTTGGGTAATGTGGAGACTCGATCCACCGAATTTAATTAGTTTCTTAATTAAGTATCCCACATACCGCTCACCAACTACACCCACCTACCGCTCATCTACCATATCCCACCTACCGCTCACCTAACTCCTCACATACCGCTCTCATGGTTTCTAAAATAATCTCTTTTGGTTTAAAGGCCAAGGCAAGCCAAGCAAGACCAAGTTAAGTCATCTTGAGAGCTAAGAGAAAGAGAGGAAGAGAGAGAGAGAGGAAGGGAGAGAAGAAAATAGAGATTTTCTTGTAAACGTTGAGGCGCTCGACGGTGTAATTCCTCGAAGAAATAAAATCCTCTACAGCTTCGTGAACATAGGCAAATTTGCCGAATCACGTAAATCCGTGTGTTGCTCTAGTGTTTTTTCTCTATGTGCAATTTTACTCGTTCTATTTTTTACTTTATTGCCGTCGTTTTTCACAACAACCGGTATCAGAGCCTTGGATTCGAATCTAAGGAAGAACAATGGACGGATGAAATGATTACTTCGGGGATCGAGAAGTTCAGTGACACGGATTTTACTTACTGGAGGATGCAAATAGAGAACTACCTCTATGGGAAGAACTTCATCTTCCATTACTGGAAAAACGACCATAAAAGATGGACGAGACGAAATGGAATATGTTGGATCGACATGTTCTGGGAGTTATACGATTAACCATGTCGAGATCGATTGCCCACAACGTCATCAAGGAGAGGACTACTGCAGATCTCATGGCGGCTAGTAGGTATGTTGAAAAGCCATCGGCGAATAACAAGGTACATCTGATGAAGAATTATTCAACATGAAGATGGCAGAAGGTGTGTCTATTGCTCAACACCTGAATGATTTCAACACTATCACAATTCAGTTGTCGTTTGTTGAAATTGATTTTGATAATGAGATACGTGCGTTGATATTGTTGACATCATTGTCAAATAGTTAGGAAGCCATGAGGATGACATTTAGCAGTTCTGCAGGTAAATCTAAGCTGAAATATGATGATATTCGTGATTTAATTTTGGCTGAGGAGGTGCGCAGGAAAGATTCTGGCGAGACATCGGGTTCGAGTTTGACACTAATTGTTGATTCAAGAGAGAGATCACAAGACAGAAACTGAAAATCGTGGAAGATCAAAATCAAAGTCAGGTCAGCAGACAATCTGCTGGAATTGTGGCAACGCTGACCACTTAAAAAGGAATTGCAGGAATCCTAAGAAGGAGAATAATGGTGTTAATGTTGTAACTGAAGAAATACATGATGCACTATTTCTGACAGTTTACAAATCTGTTGATGACTAGATACTGAATTTAGAGGCTTTCTTCCATACATTTTCCCTTCATGAGTTAATGCGGAATTATGTTGCAGGTACCTTTGGAAAGATATATCTGGCCAATGGAAAAGCTCTGAACGTGGTGGGGATGAGAGACGTTGATATTGCACTTCCTAATAAGAGCAAATGAACATCGCAAAAGGTCGGACACGTTCCTGAGTTGAAGAAAAACATCTCTGTTGGGTGTTGGGTAGCTCAATGAGGGTGGTCATTCGGTAGTGTTCTCAGATAACACCTGGAAGGTTACCAAATGAGCATTAGTCTTGGCTCGGGATAAGAAAACTGATACACTATATATGACTACAGTTTTACTCAGGCGATGACACATGAGTCAGAGGTGCGTTATGGGGAAGCAGAAAAAGATCAATTTTCTGAAAAGTTGTAGAGCGTTAAAGGCAGGAAAACCGAATTTTGTGCAGACAAATGGTGGAGAAACACAGAGTTATGAAGAAATATTGCAAGATAAGAATTCAAGCAAGTGGGAGCTGACCAAGAAAGAAGAAAAAGATTTTCTGTCAGGGAATCGGACTTGGGAGCTGACAGAACTTCAACCAGAGAAGAAGACATTGCACAACAAGTTGGTGTACTGGGTGAAGACGGTGTTTGCTGGCAGTAAGAGTTACAAGGCTGGACTTGTTGAAAACGGCTTTCAGCAGGGGCAGGATATTGCTCATGCAGTGAGAGTTGTAAGCAGATACAAGAGTAACCCAAGAAAAAGCTTAGTGGTACGAGGCTACATTGACGGTGATATGTCAACTGAAGGTGTTACTCGTGAGAAGCTGAATTTGTGTTCAACTTCAGCTGGTTTTCTGACATGAAGACAGGTGTTTCGAGTTGCAAAAGTGAAGGATATCATGTTTGAGGAAAAGGTCGATACAACTAGTAGATGATGCAGCTAGTAGGTGATGCATTCAGTGTCTCAGTCTCAAAGTAGGAGAATTGTTGGGTAATGTGGAGACCTGGTCCACTGAATTTAATTAGCTTATTAATGAACTAAGGTAAAGCTCACCTACTACACCCACCTACCGCTCACCTACCACATCTCATCTATCATTCACCTACCTCCTCACCTACCGCTCTCATGGTTTCTATAAATAGTCTCTTTTGGTTTAAAGACCGAGGCAAGCCAAGCAAGACCAAACCTTTTGAGAGCTAAGAGAAAGAGAGCAAGAGAGAGAGAGAGAGGAAGGGAGATAATAAAATAGAGATTTTCTTGTAAACGTTGATGCGTTCAACGGTGTAATTCTTCGAAGAATAAAATCCTCTGCAGCACCGTGGACGTAGGCAAATTTGCCGAACCATGTAAATTCATGTGTCTCTCTGGTGTTTTTTCTGTGTGCAATTTTACTCGTTCAATTTTTTACTTTATTATCGTCGTTTTTCACAACAAGCATGTGAAAGAGAAGCATAAAATTAAGTGTTTCTAATATGATAATGCTCGGTTGGATGAATGACTTTCCACTAATGTTAAGAAAGGAAGAGGCAGGCGTAAGATTTTTTCAAGAAAATTTTCCCCTAATTTTTTGCTGGTACCTAGTTACATATGATTGAATTTTAAAATGGTCCCTAATCTTTTTGCTGGTATCTAGTTAAATATGATTGAACCTTAAAATGGTTCAATTATTATTATACAATTCCAAACAAATAATAATACACCTAATGCATGTCCAACAAAACAATTCTTCAAGTTTCTCATGCAAACCATGGACACTCGATTTGGAAACAAAGTTCTAGCTAAATCTCTAAGAATAGTGATTAATTATTCAAATTCCGCCTCTCTGAATTCCATGAGTGTGTGGGTGTGTGTGTGTTTGTTTGATTTGGCAATGCTGATGATATCATCGTGGTTCTCCTGAAATCTCTGTTTCTTTCTTGCAATAGCGATGGAGTAGCTTGGCTGGCCTATGCTTACATAGGTAATCTATGCATCCACGTGTCATTGGTTGAGAACGTGTGGATATATTAGTTTTTTAATGGAACCAAGTCAAACCTTAGTTTTTGACCCACCTTTTTGTTTCTACTTCAATATACTTAAAAGATAGAGTGGCTTGCTCTTATTATTTTCTTTATGACCAATGATATTTCATGGCGCACACACACACCATCCACTCTTACCCCCACATCATGACAGTGTTAAATCCATCATCAACGGCAACTTTCTTGTAGTCATTGAGAGATCCACTCAACCACTTTTCTCAAATAGTTCTCAAGCAGAGGAGATATAACAGCTTGGACGGCCCATATGCTTAAGGGCATCCACAGCTTTCATGAGCAAGCTGAAGTGAACTTGTTGATTTATTTATGCTGTTAGACAAAATTGAAGTTGTGTTAGATATGAAAATACATAAGAGTCAAGTGGTTTGTATAATGTGTGTGTGTGTGTACGAATTCAAGCACAATAGATTGTGTCAAACCATGTAACCTCAGGTGGCTCTTCTTGCAACCTCCAATTTTTTTGTTTAGAACGGAGTTTGTGAGTTACAAATAAAAAAGCAACAAAATGAGTTACATGAATGAGAGAAGTGCATAACTATGTCTATTAATTGCTAGTTGTAAAATACACAAGTGTTTGGCCTAATTTCATTAAAATTGAATACTCTGACTTGTAGCCAATTTGCTAGGAAGTAATTGTTCATCTTCTTTGATGAATTCATTGGCTTGGAGAGCAGTTGTTAGGCTTAAGCAAATATGTCTAATCTTGGACAAGTTTTGTTAAACACTCTTTTAAACATCAACGATTTCATAAAATATTGGTGATTTCATCATGAGTCCAATGAGTGCATCAAAAGATCGATGAGTTACTATCAGTTTGATGTATTGTTAGGTATGTAAAAGTTACTTCTCATCGTGGCTTGTTCTATTTTGCGGAGTCTCCTATTCTCTTAACAACCTATAGTGATGTTGATTGGGCTGCTTGTGCTAATACACGTTGATCTATTATTAGCTGGTGTATGTTTTCCAACAACTCTTTAATTTCTTGGAATATCTATTACAAGATTAAGCCTCTGTCATCTACTGAGTCTGAATATCTTGCTATGTCTTCTGCTTGTTCTGAGATCATTTGGCTTCGGGGATTGTTTGCTGAGCTTGATTTTCCTCAACTTGAATCTACTTCTCTTTATGCAGATAATGCTAGTGTTATCTAGATTATTGTTAATCCCGTCTTTCATGAGCGCACGAAACACATTGAAGTAGATTGTCATTCTATTCGAGAAGCCTATGATAACAATGTTATTTCTCTTCCTGATATCTCTTCTGATCTTCAAACGACTGATATGTTTACTAAGGCCCTTTTCTCAGCAGTGTTATCGGTTCCTTGTTGACAAATTAATGTTTCTTGATCAGTCAACTTCAATTTGAGGGTGAAATCAATCAAGATTACCTAAAGCAGACAAAATTAAGAGTTCCTTCTTTAAATTGTTGTATTAAATTCCTTATTTTAATTGTACATATTCTTTCCTTATAGCCGAATATTTAGCATAGGAATATGTATTATTAAGTTACCAAAAATAGATTGTACGCATTATTATGTAATATTAGGCTATCTAAAATGGATTGTACGGACTATTATTTATTGGAATGAAAGCAAAGGAAAAGGACATTAAGCCAATTTACTCAAAAGATTGACACAAGCTAATCTTACCCTACACACTGGCTCTCTCTATCTCTCTGTCTCTCTACTTGGCGATGAAGATGAAATAAATTTCATAATGCAATCTAGTCCCGGTTTATGAATGGTTCTGAAGGTTTTTCTGTGATTGTATTTTTGTTAAGCTATTTTGTTGCGATGGCGCAGGAGAGCATCTTTGATGGCCCTTGCATATGGGAACCCGTCGCCTGCCCTGCGTTTTTTGCTTTAATGGTGAGATGCAGATCACTGGATCTGCTTTGATGATGGAGCAGTGAAGAATGTGTACTCTCGAACTCATCTCTTCGCTCCTTTTCTTAAAAAATTGTTTTCATACATAAGAATTGTGTGGTATGTATGCAAATTCCAGCAATAAACTCTTTTGGAACGGGTACTTGCAAGCCACGGAAACCTGGTAAAACAGTTTAGTATGGCATCTCCAAGTTGGTATTGAATTACCCAAAGTTTTATCTTTATTAATTCCTTGAATTGCTTAACAACTGCCTTGATTATTATTATTAATAATTGTTAAATCCTGACTTGTCTATAAATCATACCTCGATTGTTAGAGCATGCGATAGGAGAGAGACAGGTCAACAATAATGAACATTTAGAGCATCTTGTTCATTTCATAAAATGATTCCCTATTTATAAGGGAGTGGGTACGATATATGAATTTATATGTTTGCTCCTGCTTTAATGGGGCTTTAATAAATCCTATTTTTATTTTGCTCTTGTTATCCCAGCTTTCCGTTTCTCTGCAAAAATGATTCCAGCTCCTCTTTTGGCTGTCCCAACCATATAAAACCCTATTTCAGCCAAATACCTTCGCTCCCGGACCACTTAGCCGACTTCCAACACCCAGGGTCGAGCCCTAGCGTAAGTTTGTCGTGATTGTTGTAATTTTACTTTCTAGTGTGTTGATTTTAACTCTATTTGTTTTTGGTAATAATATATGTTTTTCCTATAGTATTTTTGGTTCTCCGGTATCTTCTTTACTTTGAGTCTGAAGCGACCGATGTTGTTCGCCGGATTTGCGGTGCAATAACATTGCTTAATGATTTTTAATTGAAATTTGAACGATCATTGCTCAAAAATCACCTTGCGATTGATGCTCTGCCTCATGATTCATTTCGGATGATGAAAATTTATTGATGGCATATCTGTCTCTCTCTCACACATATATATATATATATATATATATATATAATCTTAAGGAATGGTCAAAAGCTATTATCTTTTAGGGTTTAGCTTTTTATGTTTTCATATAAATTTACATGCCTAACACCTAATTTTTAATATTTAGGTTGGGCCGGAAGATTATAATGGCTTCATTTTTCCAATTTTTGCTTTTATGTGACATTGAAGGCCCAATTTTGGCTTAATTTTTATTTGCTGCTGAGGGTATTCGGAAATTTTGGGATGGGGATTTGGGCATGCAAGACAATGGTTATCGATAATATTGTACAGTTGATGTCCCTAAGAAATCTCGATGCATTATTTGATTGTAAAGTTTGCTCGTCAGGTTAAGGACTTTTAGAACTTGGTTTTCCACTAATTTATAGTTGAACTGAATCTGTAGATGAGACTTTTTCTACAATGCCATAGATGATCCAATTTGAGCCCACTTGAGCTCAGATCAAAGTATTTGAGGCAATATTGGAAACTTTGAGACATACACCTTGGTACTTATATAACTCCTCATTCTTTAGCATCTTATCAATGCTGTTTTACGCTCATTCTACCTTTCATTACCGTGCACTCTATCTCTCTGTCCTGTTTTACGCTCTATTTCTTAGGTGTGACTCAACAATCACTAATATTAACTTTTCGGGAGTGCTATACACATGTTCTTGCATATGTTATGATGTGGTTTTGGTTTTGAAGTGTTACATGCACCTAATGCATTTGCAACAAAAACGTCTTCTGTAATTTCTGATGTAAGCCACGGAAACTGAATAGTAGACCGTTCGGAGCAAAGCAAGGCGTCATAATAAAGGCACTTGAAAGCAGCCTAAAGAGAGAAGCAAGTTATTCTTCGTGTCGGTAAAATTATAATTAAAATATCGGATGCAACAGCAAAATGTCATGAGGTAGACCAAATGGATGGGTCTGAGATGTAAAATAATGATGAGAATTCATGGTGGTTGAGAAATGAGTATTTTCATAGTAGACCTTATTACTTGCATAATATTCAAATATTAAAATTTGTTTTGTAATTATAGATGTTTTGCCATTAGATTTATTTAAATGTTTGAGATTGATTTCTCACTACCATCCCTAAACAAACACAGAGGACATCATCTCAACTTCATCATTTTTATCAAATATTTGTTACTCGAAAATAAATTTTTCTACGGCGTCGCGCCTCCATACAAATATATAAATAGACAAATATAGAGTTTTTTCTCTTATATTTCTCTTTGGTTTGATCCATCCTTGTTAGTAAAACTCTACCACTCACGAACAAATATTGATCTATCAATGAGAGTGTAAATAGACAAGCAATCTACAAATGTTGTAAAAAAAGCACATTGATCACAAACAGCTTGTGTTCGACTCATTAAGTAGCTTGTGTTCAAACTACTCATTAGGCGAGTTGAACACAAATAATTTTTTTAATCTCAATTTATAAAACAAGAAAATTATATATGTTATTTATATAGTAATATATTATATATATTTATAGCACCACAACTCGTGTTGAAAAAGGTTAAGAAGGTGATGATTTATCTAGTTACGACCATCAATTAAAGCAATCATGTAGCCTAAAAAGCAAGGCTACAATTTTACTTGAATAAATAGACAAATTAATGCAATAGATTCAGTTAATTAGGCATAGTTGGGGCTAATTAAGAGGCTCAGACCCGTCAAAAAGAAAGAACAAAAGATCAAAAAATTTTCATTAGAGGTGTGGATGAAATTATATTCTGATACATCAAAAGAAAGTTAAGCATCATTAATAAAATCCTCACCTATAGAAACCTAAATAAGCATAGAGCATTAATTGTCTAATTGTCCAACATTTCTTGCTATAAGATGGCGCTCAACAGCAAAATACAAAGTTATCAGCACAGAAAAATAGGGCAAATATGTAAAATTATCAAAGTTTCATAATTATGTTATTGCCCCTTCTTCAACTATATTATGTTCCCTAAAGAATCAGGGTTTAGCCTTTTGGGAGCTCCAAAGTTATAGTTCAGCTATATCTAACTGAAAATAAACTTGCCTGGAGGGGAGGTTGATTGGCCAGAAAAAATGATTAGAACAAAGATATTCATATTTTTAGCACAATTCTTACAGGGGAATGTTATGATAAGAAAAAGGAAAAATTAAATACATACCACACAATTCTCATATATTAACATATCTAACAACTAAACTTTCATATTTACATTAATACTACTCAAACATTTGACATCACCTCCAAAAATACAACTATTACTAACTTTTTAAAAATGATTTTTAAAACCAAAGTGTTATAAATGTAAATATCAAACTTTAGGTTAGATAGGCCAAAATACATTAGAATTGTGTGGCATGCAAGTACACTGCCCTAAAAATAAAAGATCAAATTTTTAATGATTTTTCTTAAATTTAGTTCTATCTAAAATTTCATTTATGGCTCTAAACATCTTATTAGTATTGATTTTCTCTTATTCATAAGTTCCAAAGTATTCTAATTTAATTATCAAGGAACAAAATGTCATTCCTCCTAGTAGAAATGGTACACTTAAAAAGAAAGTCAGCAATCCATCATGATCAAATTATATTTAACTTAACAACCACACATTTAACAACTAAATCTTGCTTATTTATAAAACTATTATCCAACTATTTCTATTGATAATAATACCACCCAAATCTTTCACTATATGCATCAATTTCTCTAGATTCATAAAGCATGTCTCCTTAAAGTCTAGCGTTGGCAAGTAATATCACCTCCCAGATACATAGTCTTACTAGATAATAAGCATCCCTATGTGTAGATTAAATTATTATTGTCACACCTGAGAAATAAAAAACATTTGCAAGACTACATGAAAACAATAATAGCTTCCAGATCACATTATTTACTCTATATAGATTAATATACACAAATTTATTCTTTTGATATGTTAGCATGCTACATTTGCACCATCTTCATCCACCAGGAGTGAAGAAATAGAGTAGCTTATGCCTCATTAATACAAAAAAGTGATTTCTTACCTACAACAATATTATCATACGAAAGAAATTATTCTTATTTTTATATATGACTTAGTGATATCGCAGATTGACTAGACATGACAATCCGACCCAAATCTGAGTTAAAAAAATTCAGGTTCGGACCGAGCATGTTCACTAAGAGTCAGGTTAATTTCTAGAATCATAAACAGTATAATTTTTTTAGTTGGAAATCCAGTTGACTCGCCACTTTAAAACTGACTCAAAATTAACCTAAATAGTTGTTATGTCTCTTGTTAAACAATTTAAGTGGGTTATATTTGAGCCATTCAAGTTGAAAGTAGATCAAATTTGGTTTAGATTTTCTGATTCACTTAATAAATAGGTTGAATTTGGATCATGCATATGTGGGCCAATTAAATTCATGTCAGACCCAAATTGATAATTTAATATGAACGATCGGGTCATGCCTATAACCAAAAGCCACATGCTAAATGGAGATTGATGATCATTATGGAGATCTATCTAACAAGACTATCATATTAAAACTAGGATAGCCTAAAAATAAAAACTTGGTATTTACTTTTTTTTAAGATCCTCAAATCAATATATATTTTCTATGAGAAATTTATCTTAATTAAATTTTCTTTTAATTCACCAAAAGTAAATTACTAGTACATACCATGATTCAGCCAAAAAGAGAATAATATTACTTTTGATCCTCATATTATTAGGGAGCAACATTCTTATATAAAAGCCTAGCCTTCAAGCTTGGTGACCACACAAAAAAGAAAATGAAAGAATGCCATAATTCAGCCATGGGGGGACAAGACACAGCTAGAAACTTTTACAAGGCTTGTAATGCAAGCACCAATTACTATTACATCCACTTTTAAGCACACCAAATCATAAATTATTTGCTTTTAGCTCCTATATATAGCTTCACTCTTTCTTATGAAATACCTACAAGTGACGGAATGATCAGTAGTTCTTTCCAGTTGCTTTGGGGCCTTCTCATTCTCTCAGTTCTCTCCTCAAAATCCTTGTCACAAGTAATAGAGCCTTTGCCTTTTTACCCTCAGAAGTGAGATTATATCTTATGATTTTGTCTTCTTCGCCTTTGTTTTGCAGGTTCACATAGTCTATCTAGGCCATAACAATGTCAATCAACAAAACCTTACTACCAAGTTTCATATCAAGCTCCTTTCCAGAGTCTTTTCTAGGTAGATTTTAATTCTATATAGGCTGCCTATTGCGCAAGCTCTCTTCCTAGTTCACTGATGAAATTTGAGCTATGTTCAAACATTGCTTGGAATGTATTGGTGAAAAAGAATTATTAACCTTTTTTTTTTAATGTTGATAAAACCAAATCTTTTGGCCACCATTGATCTTATGGTAAAAATGGGGCTAAGGTGTTGTTTTTAGTCCTAAATAGGAATTTGTCACAATTTATAAAAGTATGGATATAATTATATAAAAAAGGTGAAACTATAAAATTTTGTTAAATGTTATTTTTGTATTTTGTTTTTGCATCATTTTTGCTTCTGTTTTTATTTTATTTATTCTTCATATGTTTTTATTTTATTATTTTTTAAAATAAATCAACTTATTTTAAAAAATACTCAGAATAAATTTTAGATGCTTGAGTATTTTTAAAAAAACACAAGGATTTAAATGATTTATTTCATGATTTTTTGACAAATTTTACACTGATCATCGACTGCCTAACGCAAAAACTCAATAGGGTGCAATGGAGAAAAATGAATCATTTAGCCAACCCTACTTAGTGGGATAAAAACTTTTTGTTGTTTTTGAACTTTTTTTAAGAAAACTACTACTCCTGCTAGCTAATGTATGATAGTCATTTCCCACCACCAACGACTTTAGCCAACTTTTACCTGTTGCGCCGCCATCATTATCTTACCAGTCATTATTGTTATTTTACCAACAACCATCGTCGTCACCATGATTTATTCAACATTCAAAAAAAAATAAAAATATATTTTAATATACAAAACATGTTTTATTTCAAATCAAAATATAAACAGATCTAAATTAAAATAAAACTTAAAAACTAAAAATCTAGAAATTACCTCAAACAACCCCTAAAATATTTTAGTTACACTTTTAAGGAAAATAAAACTATAAATAATATTAAGTCACACCACTAGCAAGAAAGTATGACATCTCAAAATTCTTGTTTTGATTACAATCACTAGGAATAAGGTAATGGATGTGAGTGGCCCTCACACTCCCCAAATTTGGAATAATCTTCCTCTATAATGCACATTATAGAAATTCTATCACTTCAAAACCTCTTATTTTTATTTATATTTTCTGTCCTCTCCCTCAAATCCTGATTCCACAGCCATTGTAGACACTACCATTGTAAGCTTTTAGCACACAATAATGTATTTACATTCTCACATCTATACTTTCATATTTACACACATAGCACTCAAATCTTTAATATTACATAAAAAATAGCACTATTATCACTTTTTAAAAGTGAAATGTACCTTTTCATGCACAGGTTTAAAGCACAAAGTGCTATGCATGTAATGCAAGCATGAAAGTTTGGGTGTGTGATATGTAAATACATAAGAATTGTGTGCTAGGTTTGTAAATTTCCCATGCTTTTAACATTCCACTTCTGCAGAGAGGATGAGGCAAAGGAGGCCATGCTCTATAGCTACTGGCAAAGTTTCTCCGGCTTTGCTGCCTCACTCAACTCAACACAAGCCACCAAAATGGCCAGTAAGAAGCTTAAAAATTAAACAATAGTACGCAGCCATTGCCTTAACTACAGAGCAATAATGAAACTGATTCAAAAAAGTGAAAACTTTTGCAGAGATGAAAGAAGTGATTTCTATTTTCAGAAGCAAGACATTAAAGCTGCATACAACAAGAAGCTGGGATTTCATGGGTCTACCTCTTTTCAATACCGAAGCTGCTCCAATGCAATTGGAATATGGCGACGATGTTGTAATTGGCATCTTCGATACAGGTTTTTCTACCAAATGTCCTTCTTTACCCTTAAATTTTGCATCTTCGGTTCAGATTTTTCATTACAGTACAAAATTCTTCTTTCTTCAATCTTTCTTTCCTCTCCCCTTTCATCGGAACAGCATCTTAGCTTCTAGGTCTTTGAGTTCTGTGGATTTATGAAATTTGGGATTTAAAGCTCGAATTTTACCTTTGATTCATGCTGAACCCGGATTTAATAAATCCAGAAAAAAAAAATCATAAATCCGAATTAAATCCTAAATGCTCCTGCAGGTATATGGCCAGAATCGGAGAGCTTTCGACCTAGCCCTACGCTGGGCCCTATTCCCTGCAACTGGCGCGGGAGGTGTGTGGCCGGAGAACGCTTCGATCCGGCCACCGACTGCAATCTCAAGATCGTCGGAGCTCGATACTACCTGTCGGGCTTCGAGCGTGATTATGGCCCTCTCAACTCCACGGGCTCTGAAGCAGAATTTCGTTCTCCCCGCGACCGGCTCGGCCCCCGCCCCCGCTTCCACTGCCGCGGGATCGCCCTCAGGCAATGCTTCCTACCTCGGCCGCCTCGCCGCCGGCACCGCCCGCGGTGGTGCGCCGCGCGCTCGCCTCGCAGTTTACAAGGTCTTCAGACCATCCAAATTTTAGATATGACAAAAAATTTTTTTGGCGTGGTTGGAAAAAAAAAAAAATATATATATATATATATATATATATAATATTTTGAATGGTTTATATATAAAAAATTTAATTTTATACAAGCAGCACGTAATTCTTATGTATTTACATAACTCACACCTAAACTTTAATATTTACGTAAGTAGCACTTTGGCATTTTTAAGCCTATACATGAAAAAGTATATTAATGCTATAAGTGTAAATATGAAAGTTTAGATATTAAATATTTTAGTATTATATACTTAAAATGTGTGGTGTAAATCAATAAATCAAAAGGGTAACATTTTCTTTCTTTTTTTTTTTTTGATAAATACACAAAGACCACTCAAAATTTGCTATTTACATAAAAAATTTATAGTAAACGTTTATTTTTCATATTTATCAAATTCTCAAAAATTTGTCTTTGACACACGTAAATACACTGATTCAGTAGTTCAAAAAAATTATCTAAATAATTAATTTATAAATAGGGGAATTTATATACATAACATCCAATTCTTATGCATTTATTTATGTCACACCTAAATTTTTATTTTCATACCTAACATACCTTTTCTTATATATGAAAAAGGTAGAAATAGTGTAATCCACTTTTTATCTTATATATATATATACCCATAATGCTCAGAATGTAAAAATTTAAATTTAGGTTGAGATGAGTGAAAAATAGAAAAAATTATTCTATATGAATACATTGTTCAATCTCCGTCAATTTTTTCACAAAAATATAATAAAAATAAGGCTCATTGAAATATTTTTTTACTTTGATCAACGGTATAGATCGGACATTCTGCATACCACTGACCTGATATAAATTTTCAAAGAATTGCATGTTATGTATGAAAATTTCTCTTATAAATATGAATGTTTTCAATTATCACCTTTATTTTTTTCAAATTTAGTTTCAAAATATAGTCCTTTTGGAGTGTGGGGGGGCAGGTGTGCTGGTACAAGGACTTGCAGGGACGGTGCAGCGATGCGGACATTCTCGCGGCGTTCGACGATGCGATCGCCGACGGGGTGGCGGTGATCTCCGCTTCTCTCGGCCCCCCCCCGCCGCTGATGCCATTTTTTCAGTCGAGCACCGACATCGGGGCCTTCCACGCGTCCCAGGTTGGCGTTACGGTCGTCTTCTCGGCCGGAAACGATGGACCAGAGACCGGCGTCGTGCAGAACGTTTCGCCGTGGGAGATCACCGTTGCCGCCGGAACCATCGATCGAGGTTTCCCGACGATCATTCTCCTCGGGAACAACGTCTCCATTGTGGTAACTGTGCTGTTCTTTCTCGACAATGGCTGAATTTCGAATTCCTCTGTGGCATTTTATCAAACATGTTGCGGGCAGAAGAAGGAACTCGTGGTGGGTTGCTTAATTGAGATGCGTGTTTTCTCTTTATTTGGCAGGGAGAAGGGCTAATTGTTCGAGAGATAAATCTGAAGTTGATAGACAGCGGCAAACTGTTTGATGACGGGTGCGATTCTGTGTCTTCTTCTCTTCTCTTCTCTTCTCGTTTTTAGAATCGCTACAACTGCATGAATTGGTGGCATTTACATACATACCACCACCAAGTTCCTATGTGTTTACATATCTAACGTCTATACTTTATTCTTTACATTTATACCACCCAAAGGCCAAATCTTTCACATCACACCAAAAAAATCACTCTTTTAACTTTTAAAAAGTGGAATAGCATTGTTCATGCATAGATAAAATAGCATAAATGTAATAAGTGAAATTTAGCTGTTAGATATGTAAATACATAAGAATTGTGGGGTATATATGTAAAAAAAACATGCAAGGGTCCAACAAATATGAAAATGCCGAAGAAATGGAAATGTACAAGTGGCATGTTTCAAGTGATCATAAATTATAAAATAAATTACAACATCATGGCTCTTGGTGCGTTTACGGAAATACCACCCAATTCTTATGTATTTATATAATTAATACCTAAATTTTACTTCTTGCATTTAGACCAACTGAATATTTCATATCACCTCAAAAATATCATTATTTTTAACTTTTAAAAAGTGAAATACTCCTTTTCATGCATTATATAAAGGGACATGTACATAAGATTTGATGTTTAAATGTTGGATATGCTATATAATACATATAAATTGAGTGGTTTTCATGTAAATCTTCATATCCTTTTGGATTCATATATCAATATTAATTTTAGAAACTTACATAGGTAGCACTCTGTCACGGACAAATAGTCCCACATTGCTAGGTGTAGGGCCGAAAAACAGTATTTAAGTCCTGGGCTGCCCACCACCCCTAAGGGCTCTTTTGGGAGGTGACAAGTGGTATCAGAGCAGATTACTGTTTGTCAGGTGTGTGGACTCTCCATGGTCCAGTGGGACCCTCGGTGGAGCCGATCCGTGATGAGGGCGTCACGTGATTGGGTGGAGGAGAATGTCACGGACAAATAGTCCCACATTGGCTAGTTGTAGGGCCGAAAAACAGTATTTAAGTATTGGGCTGCCCACCACCCCTAAGGGCTCTTTTGGGAGGTGACAACTCGCTCCATATGTTTTTACATATCTCACATCTAATTTTTCATTTTTTCATGCATAGCACTTTGATGTTTTAAACCTATGCATGAAAATGTGTATTTCACTTCTTTGAAACGATAATAGTGTTATTTTTGATGTGATGTTAAAGAGTTGTACTAGGTGTATAAATATGAAAAGTATAGGTGTGAGATATGTAAATACATAAAAACTGTGTGCTATGTATGTAAATGTCCATATATATTTTTTTTTTATCAAGTTAAACCACGTGAAATTATGCTTACATGCAGGTCATGCTCTTTTGATAAGTGGAATCGTCGCAGGTTGGCTACAGGAAAAATCGTTCTATGTTTTGCTTCCATTGGAGGGATTTCAAGCTCAAATGCAGCGCTGACGATTTTGGCAATCAATGGATCTGGAATGATTTTTACAGAACCCGCAGCTAAAGAAACACCTCAGGATGATTTCCTCCCAACAGTTCATGTTAATCTCTACGAAGGAACTCAAATCTTACACTACATTGAATCCTCCGAGTAATCATTTTTATGTTTTTTTCATGTTTACTTCATTCTCTTATTGAATTTCTGGTGATAAATTTTGAAGAAGCTCATGAGGAATGCTGATGGTTATACGTGGTTTAGATATTTATGAAGCAGAGTGTAATATGAATTTGTTGTTTAATTATTCATACATTTGGTGAAGTTTTTTGTGTTTTTGTGAAGTGATCCCACCGTGCAAATTTTTCCTAGTAAAACAACTACAGGTCTCTTGCCAGCACCTTCAGTCGCTCATTTCTCTTCCAGGGGACCAAGCTCCATTTCCCCTAACATTCTTAAGGTAAATGATCTTCTTTTCATGCGTCAAGTATACTTCAGTTACTGAAATTGCTTTTTTTCAGCGAACCTTTTTGTTTCTGGCACTTAAACTTTATTTTCTTACATACTATATGGCACAAATTATTCATATCACATAAAAAAAATCATTGTTATAACTGCTGAAAAGTTAAATACATTTTTTTTGGCATAGGTAAGGTGGCATATAAGTAAAAATTGAAGTTTGGGTGCTAGTTATGCAAATACATAGGAATTAAGTGGTTTGTATGTAAATCATCCTTTTTTTTCTTTTGGGCCTTTACGTAAGCACCATCCAATTCATTTTAAAATATTAACCATCCAAATTTCAATTTTTACATATAAAATGCTCGATTCCTATGCTTTAGGCATGGGTTTGGTGGTATGTAGCTAAAATTGAAGTTTAGATGATTGATATGTTAATACATTGGAATTTGGTTGTAGATATGTAAATCTCCCCTTTTTTTTCATTTTGAGAAAATTTGCATATATATCACTCAATTCCTATATAGTTACATATCTAACACGTAAACTTCATTTCTTACGCACTTCTCCTTATCTATGGATGAAAAGGTTTCTTTCACTTTTTAAAAGTCGGTGGGTTTTTTGGTGTGATATGAAAGCTTTTGGTGGTATAAATGTAAAAAAGTAAAGTTTAGGTATTAGACATGTAAATACATAATAATTAAGTGGTATGTAAGTAAAGCTTCCTTCTTTCTTTGTTTTCCTCCCTTTATAGCCTGATATCACAGCACCCGGAGTCAACATTTTAGCAGCTTGGCCTCCGATATCTTCTCCCACGCTGCTACCATTCGATAAGCGCTCTGTCAACTGGAATTTTGACTCAGGAACCTCAATGGCGTGCCCCCACATATCCGGCATTGTGGCTCTCCTCAAGTCTGCTCACCAAAACTGGTCCCCTGCAGCAATCAAGTCTGCATTAATGACAACCGGTAAAAAAAAAACATTCTTTTTTCAACTTACATGTTATATATTCACAGAATATCATGTAAAACAAAACTTTAAATCAATTAGCATTATTCTCTTGATGAAATATTTCCTCTGATGCAGCTTACTCAGTTGACACAAGCTCCGATATTGTCGCTGCACGTGGAACGCTCAAACCGTCGGATTCATTCGACATTGGTGCGGGGCATGTTAATCCCTTGAAAGCAATGGATCCGGGACTCATTTACGACATTGAAACACAAGATTATGTTCTGTTTCTCTGCAGCTTACGTTATTCCGAAAGCCAAATAAGCAGAATGATCCTTTCATCACAGAAAATTAACATAAGCTGTCATGGTAACTATTCCGACGTGGACCTTAATTATCCGGCGATCACGATATCGAATCTCCGCTCTGCAACAACGATAAGGAGGACGGTTCGCAACGTTGGCCAAAGAAATGCCATTTACTTCGTGAGTATCATAAATCCTCAAGGAGTACATGTTGTGATAAGGCCGAGTTACCTTGTTTTCTCGGAACGAAGGGAGAAGATGACATACTTTGTGACTGTGGAACCAGATAAATTTTCTCGAGGGAGGTATGATTTTGGGGAGATAGTTTGGTCTGATGGATATCATTATGTGAGGACTCCATTGATTGTTCAGATTAACAGAAGCAAAGAGGATATGGTAAGTCTTATTACTCAGTCTAGTAGTTAGCTTTTCTTCATGTTTGGTGACTTTTGGCATTACATGGAATTTGGCAGAGGTTAGTGGCTAACTATCTGACATTAAAAAGAAAATTATAAATTTGATATGTAATTAAAGTTTTAATGATGATTGATTATCTTGATTTTAGCTCAGCTAGTATGAGCATTCTATGAACTGGTGTCATATCTTTATTGAATGATGATTTAGTTGTTTTTGTTGAGTGTTAAGACACAAATTTAAAATAGGCATCAATTTTTTTTAATTTTGCTGCTTTTAATGAGTAATTTGGGGTTGAGAATACCTAAATTGTATTCCTTATTCATCAATATAAAATTATATAAATATCAAGGATAATTTTGCAATATATTTTATTAGATAAAAATTGTAAAGGCTTGCATTCTTTCTTGTTTTTAGAAAATAATACAATTGAGCTGTATTCCCAACTTGAGGTAACCTTTCACTTTTGTGCTTACAAGACAATGCAATTAGATTTCATTGTCTAAGGCTGCCTACTAAGCAAATAAATTAAATATACATCAATATCTTGATATGCTTTGTATCAAGTTAAGGTGATTCAATAACTAATATAGATGACAAATCCTTTAAATTAGAGAATGTTTAAATTTTGCTGAGATGATAATTTTTTTTTCTATTTTTATTTAAATATTTTACAATTTTAGACATTTTTCTTCCATTTGATTACCTTTTATTGACCTTAATATAATATAATCTGGTTAGCCATTAAATTATTTTTTTTTTTTGGGAAGTTTTGTGAAGAAAAGTATCGTTAAATGCAAGAATTTATGGTTGAACAGCTCATGTACATGAAAGTAAATGAGGGCAACTGTTGAATTCTTTTAAGATGTAGGGTTCAATGAATTAGATTTCATTGTATGAGATGTGAGTACATACAACCTAGTAAATATCTTGTTTTATAGATGAAAGGTAGAAGAGAAAAATAGATGAATGGTCCAGGAGGAGGTCTTACATATTGTATATTAAACTTTAGCTTCTGATAAGTTTTGTTTTCTATTTTCATTGTCATCCTTGTTTTTTTTTTCTTTTATTTTTGTATCTGGGATGCTACAAAATTGTAATTTGAGCTCTTTAGGACCTTTAAATTGTGAATTTTTCTATAAAAATCTTAATGAAAATTTCAAGAAAAATTAAAATTTGGATTAAAATTGGCTTGATTTTTCAAAACCATTTACTTTTCTGCATGGCCTTTGGGCCTTTTTTAAAATGAGTTGCATAGCATATTCTTCACCCAAGTAATATAATAAGTCTTTCACAATATTTAAGAACCGCTTTAGATAACTGCATCATTTTACATTACCCGAGGAGAAATCCCTGTACTTTTTCAACCCGATTGACCCAATATAGATTTCCACTCAGGTAGTTGTAAGTGCTTTTAGGTATTTAGAAAGCTCCCCGATTCATACGGGGCGTAAGTCCTTTTGTTGGGAGTGTTTCCAACTTTATGGTTGAACATTCATTTTTCTTTCTTTCCAACGACATCTTCACCACTTCAACGTGTATATGTCACGCCTCTTGGAGCTCCACTTGATAGTCATTTGATAGAGTTTTCATTTTTTGACCTTAGGGCTATCAAGGCCCCTATGGGCGACGCTAGGGCTGTCAAAAAAGCTCGTTGTTCGCGAACAATTCGTGTTTGGTTCGTCAATGAATTTGTGTTCGATTTATTCGATAAGTAGACGAGACGAACATGAACAAAATTTTTTCGTTCAGTTAGTTAAATGAACCAAAAACGAACAGTGATGCGTTCGTTCGTGTTCGAATCGTTATTGTTCGAAATATAAAATAATTTAAAATAATTATATATAAAAAATTTATGATATTCAAAAAATTAAATTTTATAAATTATAATATATAATAAAATAATAATAATAATAATATATTAATATACTATATTAGTAATATACTGATATATATATTATATATTTATATAATATAAGTTATATAATTAATTTATATATATTAATATTAGGGATGTTAAATTGGCTTGTTGTTCGCGAACAGCTCGTGTTCGACTCATGTTCCGCTTGTTCGTTAAGAAACGAACACGAACAATGACTTCACGAACAATTTCAAACACGAGCTTATAGCTTATTTTTTAAACAAACTAAATTTCAAACGAACCAAACACGAACACAAGCTCTGTTCGTTCGTGTTCGGTTCGTTTACACCCCTAGGCGACGCAATTCACTGATTGCTGACCGGGGACCTCCAGACGTGTTGAGTCAATTATCTTCACAACTAGGTAGAGTTAGAGTCCTAGTGGCTTTGGATAAATGGTCCTTAGTACCCTAACCCTGCTACCTCTACCTTCTAGGCACTCTTTCTTTGACTACCCATTTTGAGCCTTCTCGCTCATTTTGTCTTCGTTTGTATCATCTCGTCGACTCGATTATCGATAAGCTGCCCCCTCCCCCATTTGAGATACGACAATTTATCTTCAGCCTTTATGACATGGATGTGCTTTGACGTATCGATATTCTTCGTCAAAATGATTTGGTTATTTTGGAGGCTCTGTATGCTAATGATTCCACTACTCATGTGGGACCGTAAGAGGTTCATTATTCGCCCCTTGGCTTAGCGGAAGTTTGAAAGCTTCAGAGCATTCCCATATAAAATAACCATTCTTTGATAGCCCTGTGCTAGTTGTCACATCTAATGTAAGTAAAACTCATTTGATCAAGGGTATTCTAAGGCAACCTCTAATATGTAATTAACCAAATGGGATACGTCATCTTGGGAGCACTCTAGACTCCAGAACAGACAAACACACTTGAATCTGGTTGTGGTTAGTTTACGTTGATATTCTTTTGTGGATATTCGTCAAAGGTGCTTCCGCCTGATCTCGTTTGGGTGAAGATACTTGACCTATACTTGAGAGGTTTATCTCCGCGTTCTCTTTTTCTTACTTGTTGTCTTTGTTGTATGTTCGTCTTTTTCTAATCCTCTCTTCTTATGATAATTTGCATAATCCGGAAGAAAGATTTATTCAGAAAATAGAAGTATATGACGTTGAGCAAACTGACGGCTTATTTAAAAATAAAATCAGAAATGAACGAAAACATGAATTAAAAGAGATGATGAATAATATAAACACTTAAGTATCAACTGCCAATTCATTGCTTGCTAAGTATAGCAACATTTGAGTGCTCTGTATCTAATCGCCCCAAGATGAAAACAACCTGCATTTATGATAATTTTTAGGGGCATTTACAATAATACCACCCAATTCCAATTTATTTACATATCTAGCACCTTTTTTTTTTAATTTTTTTTTCTACTCGCATCTTTCATATCACATAAAAAATATCACTATTTTAATTTTTAAAAAGTGAAATAAATATTTTCATGCGAAGGTAAGGCGCATATGCTAGAACTAAAGTTTAGTTAGAAAGATAAATACGTAGAAATTGAGTGGCCTGTATGTAAATCTTTTGAAAATTTTTCTTTGTAGTTTGCTCTACTATTTTTATTTCCTGCAAATGCTACAAGCAAAAATTACATTATAAACTAAAAACATCAAATTGCAAAACAATAACTAGATTTACATACATGCCATTTAGTTCTTATGAATTTATAACGTCTTCATATTCATACATACCACATGCTATTATCTAAATGACATAATAATGTCTGCATGCAGAGATGTAAGTCATTTTATATAAGTTAATACTAGTGATTTTTATGCAAATACTTATAAATATATGTGCCTTAGATACATCACAATCATAAAAATTAGAAGTATGTGGGTAAATCTTCTTGTTGGGTGTCAAAAGATTTGCGGTGGTAGTGTGATAATTTAACATTTACGTGGAAAACCTTCGGGTCTGCTCAAAGTGTTCCACTATAAGTATGTAATTACAAAGAAAACATATCTTTCAAAATATCCCATGATTGGAATGGCAGGGTTTCAACTTCACACCAAATACAATGTTTTTCTTTATAAAATGTACATATTTAAATCTTCATAAGTCCAGAGAAAGCCTATTTTGAATATGATGATTGTAAGTGGTTATCGTTGAGACTTAGGGTTAATCTTTAATAAGGTGTTATTTGTTACACTATTCGGGATACGTTGTTAAACCGCACTCGAAATACATCATTATATGGAAAAGTTTGTTGGACAGTGGTGAATAAGGGCAACCGATTGTGGTCAACGAAGCTATAGAGCCTAGAAGTTATCGCTGGTTATTTAGACCAAAGTAGCACTGGAAATCGACTTCTTCCCCCCTCCAAGTGAAGAGAGAGGGTCTATTTTATAAACTCTAAGAGAGGGGTATTTTGGTCTATTGGCGAGTAACTTTCTCAACCACCTGATTGAACGACCTATATTCATCTCTCTTGATCATAGGATTTTTTTGTTTGATGATTTGAAGATCATAATGAACTCAGAATTAAGAGGACTTAGACTCGTTGGATTTCTTTTCTCGAGACAATTGATTTGAATATAACTATGTCAAATTTAGAGTTCGTTTGATTTTTTAATTGGCGATCTGGAACCTTCAAAAGTGTTTTAATGGCTTGATCTGAATTTGATTGAGCTCGAATTGGTTCAATCTTTGTATCATTTGGTTCGTCTTATCAAGATGGCCAATTTCACTATAAGTTTGTTGAAATAGCAGGCATGAATGATTTTTAATTTAAATCAGATATATATATTATTCAAAAAATAATTCAAGATTGGTGTGTGATGATACAATTTTGTTGATGACTTATCACTCATAAGATAAATAAATAAAACTATATTCTCATCCCCATGACCTTTTCGTGAGATTGGAGTGCTTGTAGCTATCAAAGGTGGGGCTCTTTGCTGCTTGTCATAGAAAATTTAATTTATCCTCTCCTTTCTGAAGATGTGAACTTAGCTCAAAGATCATTGGTCACTCGAAAATCGACTTAAATTTTAGCTCGGATCAAAATAAATGAGCCAAGCTATAAGACGGAACTTAGGATCAAATTTATTTTAGTAGATTTCAAGCTATACAAGGATCCACTCGAACTGGCTCGAGATTGACTCGAAGTATTTTTATTTATAAAAAGTTATACATATAATGCCAAATAAACGAGTCAATAACCGATTTCGAGTTGGAACGAATCCAAATAACTCATTTGATCAAGCTCATTTCGATTTCTAATCAAATTGACCTTGATTCAATTTTGAGCCGAGCTGACTAGAAATCGTATATAACAATCCACAAGCTAATTTTGAGATGCACTCAATCCATTCGAGTCAATTGCGAGCCGATTTTGTCCCAACCCCAACTTGAGTCGAAATGGAACCCTGCTCCTATATGATATTTATCACTCTTATTCTATCCAACAAAATTTAAAGGTACCTTTTTCTTAATTTTTTTAATTAATTATTTTTAAATAATTTAAATAAAGTATAAAATCACGAATTTGTTTTAAGATGACTAATAATACATATTTTAATTGTTTCTTCAAACATAGCTCTCATTTTAACCAATGACTAAAATTTAAGTTTATTAAATATTAATAAACACATTTTTTATTTTAAATTTAAAGAGAAAATTACGAATTAGCTGTAGGGCTGTCAAAACGGCTCGTTGTTCGCGAACAACTCGTGTTCGGCTCGTTAAGAAGCTCGTGTTCGGCTCGTTAATTTTGTTCGATAAGTTAACGAGTCGAACACGAACTTTTGACACTAAATACTACTCATCAAATATATATATATATATATATATATTAAATAGTATTTTATGACCGTAAGGCTACAAAGATTTATAATCAATTAAGAAATTGATTAAGAAAATAGAATAAAAATTATTAAATTAGATTCAAATGATGTTTTAATATAAATAATAATTTTTAAATGTTGCTCAAACCCTTATTGTTTTATGACTACATGATTAGAGTTGTTCAAAGGACTCTTTATTCGTGACCAACGAACACACTTTTTGGCTTGCTCGTGTTCGGCGTTTACACCCCTAATTAGCTGGTCAGGATGGCCGAGTGGTCTAAGGCCCCGGACTCGAGCTCTGGTCCTCATTTGAGGGCGTGGATTCAAATCCCACTTCTGACAGATCTTCTTTTTACTATATTATTTTATTTTTTATAATTTTACTTTAAATAATTTAATTGTCCCTCATTTATTTAATTATTTTTATTTTTTTCTTAGCCTGAATTCAATATAAAAATACTTTCTATACCATTCAACATTTACTCCATTATGAAATAAATGCAGAAATAGCATGCATTATATTTTTAATTTTTTTTTTAAAATTTCAAATTATTTTTTCATCTTGATAGATGCACATTTTCATTCACAGAATGTAAATACGTTAATATGTAATATATAATAATTGTAATTTCAACTTTATTTATTTACTTTTTTATTTTTTTTACATATTTTTACTTTTTTTTTATTTCTAAAAACATATTAATATGTTCTTCAAATACACTACAAATTTTAGATATTTTGGGTGTATTTAAAAACAACAATATATTAATCACATGTTTCAATTAAAATAATAATAATAATAATAATAATAATATTTAAACATAAAAGACTAAAAGACTAAATGGAATAAAAAAGCACGCCTACATAAGAAGGAAAACATAGGAAACATCTTTGACTTGAATCAACTTTGGTTAGGGGCCATATGGCTACCATTTATTCATGTAGCATTTTCATTTGTATGCCATAGTTTAATGAAGTGTTATTTGTCTACTGAGGTCAATGACATTACTAAAATAAAATAAAAAAGAAAGGGAGCATTTACATGCATAGCACGCAATCTTTATGTATTTACATACCGCACACCTAAGCTTTCATATTTATAAACTTAACACTTGAATCTTTAATATCACATAAAAAATAGCATTACTATCATTTTTTAAAAAGTCAAATATACATTTCCATGCATACATTTAAAGCACCAAAATGCTATGTATGTAAATATGAAATTTTAGATGTAAAACACGTAAATACATAAAGATTGTGGGCATTTCACTTTTAAAATTTGGTGTCATCTAAATGGAGAAATTATTGCGTACGGACACCGCATGCATCTCTGCATGCGTGCCCGATTCTGACCGTAGATCACGGTGATCTACGGTCAGAATATATTTCAGTTTTTTTTTTTAAAAATTAGATGGGGCCCACCAAAATATATTCTGACCTTAAATCACCTGATTTAGGGTTAGGATCGGTGTCTGTCCGTATGGAATAATTTTTTCATCTAAATGGCACGCTCTCTTTCCCAATCAAAATCTAGACTACTTCAATTTGAACTTAAAAGTAATTCAAATTCTACGAAGCAAAAGATAGAAGAAAAGGTAAAAAAATAAAAAAAATAAAAAAAACCATTGTAATATTCATAATACCTAACCAGGCAACAACTGGTGAAACTCTGACCTTGTAACTACAAAAATGCTACAAATTATGCAGTTATAAAGATAGAAAAGAATCAAATACCCCATTGTTGGAGCACTTTAGCTTATAGAAACAAACAATATTAGGTGAATGAAATAACAGAACAGCACTGGATCTTCAGTTTTAAAAGTTAATTTCACAATAAAAATGAATTCCAGCAGAGACATACATAAATAATATAAGAATTATTGATGATGAAGGTTGTATGAATCTTACATGAAGCATTTCAGTCTTGATAAATTCTTCCTGGCATCGACTTTCTCTCTACTTTGCCTAGTCTTTGGGGAGGCCAGATGATATGGGTCACTCTCCCTCTAATTAGCCCCAAAGGGATCTACAAGAAAAACATATAAATATTAAAAATTAAATGGTGCTTTGTGAAACAAATGACAAGGCCTTTAATCATATCTCAACGGCTAAATTAGTCATTTACGAACTCCTGCGCTTAGCATACGCTAAAACTTCATGGCAAACATTTGCTCCTACCAAAACTTTTGAAAGAACTAATATATATCAAGAGAGAGAGAAAGAGAGAGAGAGAGAGAGAGAGAGAGAGAGAAGAAGAAGAAGAATACAAGTATTTATCCAATTGGGCAAAATATTGACTTGAATTTACGATATGAAGCATACATAAATCTACTGGGGGCATCAATTAGTAAAAGAAGAAAAAAAAAATCAAATTCCTTTCTTACAAAACTAACAAGGTGGTAGGGAGAAGATATCGCCAAAACCTAGGAGCAATCTTTCTCAAAGATAAAGCTAAAAAAAAAACAAATACACCTATCAACAAATCTACAATCGATCCTCCCACTTATTCCTCCGAGGAAATCCAAAGTCAAGAAGCCCCGATTGCATGCAAAAAAGATGTGATTTCTTCCCTATTCCCTCCAATTTGAAAACCCATTTACATACTCCAATCCAGTCATGTGAGAAGTGGATAGTATTAAAAATAGGTGTTTTATAGATTACTAAAATGCAATTTGAGTTTTATATAATATAATAAATACAGATCCTTATATCAATCCTCCAAATTATTAAAAACAAAGTGGATGACCACCAACTTCTCCTCAGCCAAAGTTTCAAAGGGCATTAGTAAGTGCAAACAATCAAGTCCAAGGTTTGCCTGAACTTGAGAATAGAGATTATCATAGAAAGCATGTTAAAAAAAATGTGCTCAATGGAGATATTTTGAAATAAACCTCTTCAACCTTCTCATAACGAGCGCTATCAAATATAAATATCGTTATTTCTGTCATGACAAATATGATTCTCTAACTAAATAAATATCACTCTGACAATCATAGAAAATAGCCAAATTATCCTGGTGCATGCCCATTTCTTCCACTAAGCCTCTCAAATAAAAGCTCTTTTGAATAGCTTGAAAAGTTAACCTATACTTTTCCTATATGATAGGCAAAAATTGTAAGCTAAAGACATGTCTTCAAACCAATGACATTCTAAGAGAGATTAAAGGCATACACAATTAGAGACCTTTAATCAAGATCATTAGCATAATTTATATTGAAAAAAATCCACAACAATACAATCACATGTCTCAGCCATAAATCAAATCATAATTAATAGTGCTTCTGAGTTCCGAGACATCACAGAATCTGTTGCATCCAACTTAAATCGAGTTAGTTTCTTTTATCAAATATTATGGATCAAATATTCAGTCTTAAATCCAGTAAAAATATCTTGTAATGCATTAACAGGTCTTGAGGCTGTTTCAAGCAAAATTTCATTTAAAAGAGAAAATATCTTGAGCAACTCATCTATAAGGTGAGGTCATAAGACCTGTTAATAAATCCAATACTTAGGTTACAAGACTTACTCTCAAGTATTTCTTATGGTACTATAAACCCAACCGTCTAGGTAAGTCATAAATAGAGTTATAAGGCCCCATATTCTAAACCATGTCGATCCCAAAATTCATATAGAAATCAAGATCCAAATGAAACAATAAGTATTAGAAGTGCATGACCTGCCAAAATACTTTACTTGCATAAAGCTTTCAAGTAATTCTCCAATAAAAATTCATTTAAAAGAGAGTCATTTAAGTCGCCGCACCTACAGTGAAAGATTATAAGACTCACTTCAAAGTTTCCGTCAAGTCAAGGCTGTGACTACCACAATTAAACATTTCCAACATGTAAGCCCCAATCTCATGATAGAGTCAACAAAAATTCACAAGATCACACTCTCAAAACACAAGTCAAATGGAGGCATAAATCATAAAATTGTCCCAAAGCTGGTTGAATTGGCAATGTCAATTCCTCCAGTGTCTCTATAAAATTGAGACATAAGTCCTCAAATTGCTTGAAGTAGCTTAAAAGTCCCTATAATGAAAATCGCAGCCCGACACTACCAAAAAGAGGCATAAGTTCTCTTCAAGTTCAAACAAAGCCATCAAGCCTTCAAAAATCAAACCACAATAATGCATAAATCTCCAAGTTGAGCAAATTAAATATATGAATTTTGAGTCTTGCAAGCATACTCTAACAAAGATGAAGTTGCAAACCCTAACTCCTCAACCTTGTTAAGTTGAGTTTGTGCTAAGGACTTGAACTTCAAATCTCAAGTCATCACTATCAAATACATAAATGTATGATCACAAACTTCAAATCAATCTTTAAGACTAGACAAACACCAGTAAGTCTTATCAATCAGCAAAACCATATGTAGGGTTTCCTCCAGGATGAAACCGCCATCTTTATCTAAATCAAGACCACAGGGCTCTCGTGAACCAAATAGTCACTAGACTGGGTCAAAGATTGTCCTATATCACATAAATGCTGACCTAAATAGTTTTCCTCGAGGATCATCTAGAGCAAAGGGTCAAATATGGGCTGCCACCTCAAGAAATCTCCTATAACAATCAATTAAAATTAATGCTCATAGGCAAACTGCCCATGGTTTAGCTCAATTAAAGACCATTCATGATTATTTGATTAATTAATCGAATAAGTTTGAACACTTTCATAAGTACTTGATTACTAAATGAACAAGCTTGAACAATTTGTTTAATTCATTTATATTATTAAAATATATCATTTAAAACTCGTGAACAAGTTTGATTAAAAATCTTTTAGAACTCGTTCATGAACAATATCGGTTACAAGTTAAATTTTAGGCTTTATGAGCATTTTTTTATATGACTTGCTTATTTACTCAACAAGCCGCTCGTGTAAAGCTTAAGTAAGACTCAAGTATGACTCATTTATTTTGTTAAATAAGTTGCACGCTAATGATCTCAATAATCCTTATATGACCGAGCTCAAACATGATATTTATAAATAAGCTTGTGCACAAAGTCTTAAAAACACAAATTGAACTCAAGTCGAGCTCAAATAAGCTCTTAAAAAACGAGTTCAAGCTTAATCAGATACGTGCATGGCTCAACTCCATTCATTTGCAACCCTAATCATCTATATGCTCTAGGGTGCTCTACTTTCTAAAGTGAACCCAACATTTGGTCATGAATCACTGAATTCGTTGCATTAATCTATTGATTTAATCTCAATATAAATGTATCAAGCCCAATGCATTAACTCAAACAATCACATAAGAAAACCTTGCATTAAATTGAATCTATTTAGGCAAATACTAATGGATCTCACCAATATATAATGAATATCCTCAAAACATACTTGCCACCCAACCTACTCGAGATAACTAGAAAAATGCAACATAAAACTAGTCATCAAAATTCCTATGCGATATATTTGTTAAGCCCTATTTTGTTGGTAGGTCAGGACCCCTGAGGTTGACCCAAGGTGATGGAACTAAGAGATCATGATCAAGATGAGCGCCCGTCCCTTAATCACACCATAATGCAAGAACAAAATTAACCATCACGAACTTAAAGCATGAATAATGTATTTGATCAATAGGTGTAATTAAACATCAGAGCTTGTGCCCATGGGAAACATCCATCCTTATATCTATTACAAAACCTAGATAGTTCACACTCATATTTAAGGAAAATCTCTCCAAGTAAATGAAATAGTGTATCCTTACAAAGACCACATCACTTGTCATCTAGTCCCTAAAATCTAAGGGTTGAAGTTGAAGGATAACCCATGAGCTCATAAGTGTATTTCAGAGCCCACTCTATTATCATAAAGGTCTATGTTGATGAAACCATTCTTACTAAGAGTGATCATAATGACGTCACTTAAGTACAACACTGCCTATAAAAGTTTTTTCTAATTAAATTGTGTGCAATCACCAATATTTTTAGGGAATATAATTATCTTCAACAAAGGACTTTCCCTAAATCAAAGAAAGAATGCCACAAAACATCCAAAAGAAATCATCCTGTTAGGTTGAAAACCTGTTTACACGCTCACTAATACTTAGAAAGCTATCAATAAAAAGGAGATATTTAAAGATGTTTCTCATTATTAGATATTGGTTGATAAATTGATCTAACTTATTGCCAACAGACTAAATATCTCTTCATTGCAAAAATCATGAACTAACACATGCAAACTGCCAAATAGGAACATTGGGAAGTTAATATGTGTAACCTTTAATCTATCATGAAGCTACTAATAAAATGGCTACTATAATAGAATGAAAACCGTATCGTGAATGTTCTTTTGATGCTAGCTATATTATTTTAAATGAAGTTGCAAAATTCCCATCTGAGAATTAGATATTTGTGGGAGGCAACTATATTAAATAGAAGAATTAGAACAACAAATAAAGGTAAAATCAAATGTTGAAGCAAAATATATTGAGGTTGGTTGTTACTTTATACGGGATGTGATTCTATCAAAGAATACTATTATTTCTCATATTCCCAACTCAAAATAATTGGCAAATATATTCACCAAGATTTTCGATCAAGTTTAATACTTCAAGCTATATAATAAATTGGAACTTATTAAAGCATATGCTCTAGCTTGACGAAAGTGTTAGCATAAGAAATACCATAAAACCATTTAGCTTCTCTAAAAATAGTCAATAGACCGTATTTGTTTTGTTGTAACTTGGTTTATTATATTGGTTACTATACTATATAAAAAGGGTCCTCTATTCAATAATACATAAGTTATTTTCCCACCAACACTTGCTACTATCCAATTTAACTATTAATAAAATTGTGACCATTTGAAATTAACATTTGAATAGACAACGCTGAAAATGAGATTAATAATTCAGGAATACATGATATAGGAATGAATCTAGTGAGACTTTTCAGGCTTCTATTTCATAATGTTTAGAGTTGTTGCAGTTGTTTCGGTTTTAATTGACCTAGATAAAAGCTTTAATTATGAATTTTTTTTCCATGATGTTCTATTGCCATACAAGCATCAAACTTTATATATGGTCCCTAAAGTTGTTCAATTTTTTTGTAATTTTTTCAACGCAATTTTTTTGCAAAAAAAAAATAATAATATGGGAGTATCGAGTTTTTCCACAAGCTAAGATATACATGGCATGCACAACGATATGCATGCACCTACAGATGAAGATTAACATCATATTTGCAACAATCGCCTCCTGGGCTTTTGATCCCCACTTCCTATTAATAACCATATCTTCTCCAGAATTTTGAATCACCAAATCCTTGTCATATATCCTCTATCCTTTGTCCAAGCCTCACAAGCACTCATACTCCCTTTCACTTATCTTGCATCCTAAATTAGTTTACATTGTCGCACAGCATTAAAAAGGTAAAAGTTTCTTGGATAACTTACAGGTCCAAAAGATCTTGAATCCAAACTTGAAGAGGAATTGTCTCCCTCAACCCAGCAATGTCCATCAGGAATTTTCACCATATCAGAGGAAACACGAATCCATTCACCAGGCAAAGCTATCAATCTTTTGACATATATTTGCTTGTGATTGCTTGGAGATCTGCAACATAAGTAAGAAAAACAAACATAGAATGCATCTGCATGATTACAAAATAACTCACCAACAATTGTTGGGATACATCTTACTAAACTAAATGCAACAGAAAAATGTTATTCAACTTACTGAAAAATCACAACATCTCCATGGGAAAACTTGAAGTCATGTAAGCAGAATCTTTCTATTAGTACAAGATCACCTGTGACCAAGAAGCTTTTCCACATAAATGTATAATCAGCCTCTCAGAATCATACTTGAGGACAGAACTCCTTAGTTTTCTAATTCCAACTATAAAGACTTGGTCTAGAGACAATACCTTTTAAATACCCAGGAAAATTGGTGGAACTTGAGGCAAATGTAGGATGCATAGAGTTACCTCGAACAGGAGAAACAGTCAGATATCTATCTGATATTGTGATGCCAAACAGTGCACCTGTCACAGACTTCCTTGTAAGCAGCCATAAAGAATTCAGTGTTCCCATATTCCAGCACTGTCTATAAATACAAATGATCAGAAACAATTAATTAGTAAAAAACAAGGTAAATTGTTTAAATGAAGAGATAAATTGCAAATTAAACTACGGCAGACATATAGATATGCATAGAAAGTGGGCATGCATTATGGCATTTAATTTTTATTATATATAGTTAAACTTCAGATTCTATTTGTATTAATTTTAAGGTAAACTTCATATTATGGCCCCAATTATCACTTCTAGCAGCATATCACATAATCAATACAAATAGTTAATAGTCAAATGTTTCTTCGTGCCTTGCTGAAAATCGTTTGTGATCCTACATAAAATTAATTTTTCTCCACAACATTAACAATAAAATATCATAATAATACAACAACAAACCTTTATCCCACTAAGTGGGTTCGGCTACATGAATTTTTTTTCTCCATTACGGCCTATTGAGTGTAATATTTTCATTTAATTCTAATAAATTAATATCATTTCTCAAACAATATGCTCAAGTCTTTCTAGGTCCACCTCTACATTTCTCAACATAAGTCAAATCTAAAACATCTACTCTCCTAACCGGATCATTAGATGATCGACCTTAAATGTGACCAAACCATTTAAGACGACTCTCTCAAATTTTGTCCACCACTGGAGGTACACCAACCCTATCACGGATATATTTATTTTGTATTTTATCTATAAGTGTAAAGCCACTCATCCACCTAAGCATTCTCATCTCGACAACACTTAACTTAGCTTAACTTAGTTTTACACTTAACTTAGTTTTATGCTTCTCTTTTAAAGACAAACATTCAACGCCATAAGCATTGCAGGCCCCATCATCTTATAAGATTTTCCTTTCAAGCTAAACTATACCTTTCTATCACACAATAGGCCCGAAGCATTCCTCCAGTTCAAACAACCAACTTGAATTCTACTAATAACATCCCCATCTATATCACCACCACTTTGAACAATAGACCCGAGATATCTAAAGCGTTCGCACCATTTAATAATTTGATCACCCATAGTTACAACTTTGTCACTAGAGAAACTTCTACTAAAATTACATTTCATGTATTCAGTTTTGGTTTTACTCAAATGAGGGCCTTTAGAATCTATAGTTCAATTTTTTTCCCGAGCTTTTTCTCTACTTTTATCCAAAAGAAGGATATCATCTGCGAAAATCATACACCAAGGTACATTCTCCTGTAAATGTCCATTAAGAGCATCCATAACTTAAGCAAAATAATATGAGCTTAAAGCCGATCCCTGATGTAATCCAACTAAAATAGAAAAATATTTGGTCAATCCTTCTTTTGTCCGAACACAAGTAACAGTTCAAATATACATATCTTTAATGAAGTCATATCAACACCTTTCTTCTCTAGAACTCTCCAATGGATATCTCTTGGAACCTTATCGTATGTTTTTTCTAAACTGCTTATTCTCTCTGAACTTCTCCATCAAACCTCTCAATAAATGTATAGCTTCCATAGTAAACCAACCCGGCATAAATCCAAACTAATTATGACAAATCTCTGTAATATTTCTTAACCTATGTTCAATCTATGTTCAATTACCCTCTCCTACCTATGTTCAATTACCCTCTCCTATAATTTTAAAGTGTGACACATCAACTTAATTCCTCTATTATTTGCACTTTTGTGCATCCCTTTTATTCTTAAACATGGGGACCATAACACTCTTCCTTCACTCCTTGGGCATCTTTTTAGTTTTTAAAATAATACCAAAGAGTTTAGTAAGCTAAGAAACTCTCAAATCTCCTAAATATTTCCACACTTCAATAAGAATATCATCAGGTCCTACAGACTTTCTACTATTGGTTTTCTTTAAGCCTTCTTAACTTCTTTTTTACTAATGCGACGGTAAATATGAAGCATTTTAAACAGTTTATGCGACGGTAAACAATTATTAACGATATCAAGATCACTAAGATTGATCGTATTTTTAAAAACTTCATTAAACAGTTTATCAAAATAACTTACACACCTATGTTGCATATTTTTTTCTAAGAAAAACACATTTTTTTTTTATTTTCATCTTTAATACACTTTACTTGAGTTAAATCTTTATTTTTTTATTTTTGTTTAACTGGTTTATACATATATTTTTCACCCTCTTTAGTATCTAATCAATTATAAAGAACAATAAAAGTAGAATTTTTAGCGCCACGAACTCATCTCTTAAACTCTTTACGAGTCATTTTATATTTTTTTTAAGTTCTCAAAGTTTTTATATTTAAACCAATTTTTATAACATAACATCTTATATTTTATTTTTTTCTTGCACATTCTTATTCCACCACAAACTATTTTTATTTATAAAAACTTTTCCTTCTGATACTCCAAATACATCTTTTACCACCTGTTTAATAGTATTTGCTACTTTATCCGATAAAGAATTTGCTTCTTCATGAACGTCTCAAATCTTGAAGTTTACTTACAAAAATAATTTTATTTGTATTTTAGGTGTCTGATCTAATTCTACAATAATGATTCCTAATATTTTTTATTTTACAATTATTCATCATAAAATCTAGAGCTAATAATCAATGTTGAGTAATTAAATCCTCGCTTGGAATGACCTTACAATCTTTACATTCTCGACGATCTTCTCTTCTCATAAGAAAATAATCAATATGTTTTATTATATCCACTCTAATAAGTAATAATATGCTCATCTCTTTCTTGAATAAAGGATTAGCAATAACAAAATTATACGTCAAAGCAAAATCTAATAGAGCTCTATCTTCTTCATTAATCACTCCAAAACCATAATCATCATAAATATTTATAAAATCTTCTGTCACTTTACCGACATGTTCATTTAAATCTCCAATAAAAATTATTTCTTCAGAAGGTATCATTTATATTAAGTCTTCTAGATTATTCAGAATTTTTTTTTAAAATCTATATCTAAACCTACTTGAGGAGCATAAACACTTATAATATTAAAAATCTTAATATCAACAATAATCTTAAAGACAATAATTATATTAATTTTTACAACATTATCTTTCAAACTTTTATCTATAATTACATCTATACAATTTCTAGTGTGACAGTTACTTGAATACCACAGTTTAAAACTTAAGTTATCAATCTTTTTAGTCTTTTCTCCAAAGCATTTAGTTTTTTGATTACATAAGATATTTATATTTCAATGAATAATAATATCAACTAATTCTATTAATTTGTCAGTGAGAGTGCCTATATTTCAAAATCTTATCCTAATATTAATGTCATGGACAAACTTCTTTACCCGCATCCGTCCATAGTGTAGGAACCCTTGTTTATTTGACACTACACCCGGGAGCCGGTGTAGCGACCCTTGCACACTTTTCACTGTACTTAGGTCGTACAGTGCATCGTTTATAGAGGACGCCCTATCAATTACAAAATGATCAAAAGGATTCATGTCATGATTTTTTGACAAATTTTACGCTGACTGCCAACTACCTGATGCAACTCTCCAATTTTTACATACAAGGCTTAAGATTCGACAATGGCCATGTATAAAATATCACATTAATAAATAGTATAAATTTACACTATAAATAAATTATCATATGTGATAATTTACATATGATAATAATCCCTACAAACTTAAGCTAAAATAAAAGATATCAACTTGAGCTTAAAAATACTAGTGACTTAATAGGAAGCAGCCAGAGCTGTCAGTGCTACGAGTAACGCAATTAATTCATCAAAAGAGAGTAGCGAAAATTAGTTCCAACAGGTTGGTAATAAGATTCATTTCATAGAAAACACAGACAAGATCCTTCAATTGAGTATTGATAAATAATGTTAAAAGATTATTTTGTCAAAGCAAGTTAATAAAGGGTGATAATGATGAGCATTGCTAGAGAGCCTTGATTGAGGAAAAAATTCAGCAATGAAGATATTATAGAGAAAATGTGAAGGGATGGCGACCAAGGTTGAGGTAAATTGTAATAGAAGCGATCAAAATCATATTGATAAAGGAAACCAAAGGTGTGAGTTACAAGCAACAAGCCCTCACAACTTGTTGAATGTCAATCAGAAAGAGAGAAGAGTGTGCCCCTAAGTAGGGATGGCACAGGAGGAGGAAGAGGAGGTCATATGCTAGGAGATATGGAACATGATGACTCCAAGTTGGGGCATATTGCAATAGAGTTTTTTATATTCCTTGATGAAAGCGCCTCTATTGGAGGTTCAAAAGCTTGATGTTTACCATGTCAGGATTGATTGCATGTGGGGCATGGCAACATAATTGGAGTTGGATGAGGATGTATGTTGGTATTATGATCAAGAAGAAGTTTTCTAGTAGGTCACATCAAGCAAGAAAAACAAAAACTCAATTGAAAGACAATGAAAAGACATAGACAGCTCAACAGACTCGATTATCATGTTAAAAGGGAGAGAATTGGAAAGGACGAAATTTTTATTGTGGTACATAATTAGTAGAAACATAAGTGTTTATTTATGGCTAAGAAAATGTCCTCAAAAGTGTGAATATTGTTAAAAAAATTAGTGTAGATTGCCCTTATAAGTAAGTTATCAGAAAGCAAACAATTGGACTTTAGCTTAAGCAAAAAACTTATCTTTTATTCTGAATTTATGACTTATTCCAATTTGGGATGGGAAAAACTAAACTTGATATCCAATAAATTAATTCATTTTGCTACATTGCAACTTCGTCTTGAGTGCATACATGCACACTATCTCTTATGTAAGAAAATAAAAACCGAGTTTAGAAACAAGACTTGTATTCCATTAATTGAAATGAATTGATTTCAAGCCCACACATCGACAGATCAAGGGAGGGCACCAAGTCAACAATGAAAGCAACTAAATCTTAAAAATAACTAAATAGAATTAAATACTACAAACATATATTTTATCATCAAATAAATTATTTGTAAATATATAGCACCTATATAAATTATGAAAAAATAGCTGAAATTATAACATAATTACAAAATTTCAAAATAAAAAATATTTTAATGTAATAAGCTATATCTGAATCTCAAACTGCAGTCAATCAATTGAAACCAAATAGAGCAAGACATGTCACAAACTATATAACATAAAATTGTTCAATTGACCATTTTGCTGAAGCAATAACAGCAAAACCAGCATTCCCTATACTTATTGCAGCATGTTTACACAGTTTAAATCTAGTTTTCAATTTTCCTGTCTAACAAAAAAAGAGAGAAATTTAAATTACCGCCAGACAAAGGGGTTTAGGTAGATCATATAACACTAAATACTAAAATGCATATAACAAAAGGAATAAATGAACATATTGAACATTATTGCTCGATTATTTCTTAAAGAAAATAACACCAATCTCAAATAATCCTTTTCAAGCATCCCTGACATCATGTGGAATGTCATAAGTTTAAATGTCAATTTAACACCAAATGACAACTTCGAAATATGGAACATTGATGACTAGAAATCACCTGAAATTAATGAAAGCTAATTGCTTTGAATACTGTTAATCACTTTCCTCATATAAGAGTGTCAAATCCACATATAAGTGAGTTTGTAATTGAGTCAAGCAAAATCCATGATGCATCTAAGAAACAGCTCATGGTTAAGGAGGTCTCACAATGGGTTCCACAACTCTGATTTAGTCAGTGGACTGTAGATTTGTTCCAACTTTTATGAGCAACAGAGAAACAGAGGCGCGCAGAGTAGCAAAAAAAGCAGAGGACTCGGGAAGAGATCAAGAGGATAGGGGTCCTATAAGGCTGTGACCGACTGAACCAAGATGCCTAAGGAAGTTGAATAAACCCCGCTTGAAATGGAGAATCCAGCACACAAAAACAGCCATGAACACAAACAAATTCCTCATAAAGGAATGATATAGAAAGAAATGGATTAAAGTTATTAATAGAATTTACTGCATGACATTATGCACGTGAATGTGATAATTTAAATAAAAGAAGAAATTAAATGAAATTAAAGTGCAAGTTCACGTGCACTATCCTATAGTCATCGAAATCATTGAAAAGGCATTTTAGAATACATCCTATTGTATTTTCCCATATCTTTAGATATGTAATAAACAATGAATGGACAAGTTGTTTCAATATGAGGACCGGATCCCAGCAAAAACAGCTTAAGAGCCCCCAAGTCAATTTAAATCGCCAAGTATTCTAATACGCATCCAAACAATTTTATAATACTTACCCGGTTTCATGATTTAGATGACCAAACAGTTTTCCAAATCTTCTCCATCATTATTTATAAATCCAAACTCACTTAAATCCTACTAGCATTCAAACAATTCAGCCAAACCCGGATACTTAAGAGGGACAAGCAAAGCCCGGATAAAAAGAAGAAAATGTAGATGCTATTGATAGAGCTTGTGAAGTCTAGAGGAGGATATGGCGCGAAATAAGTAAGATGCAGCTAAAACAGTACACTTCACTCAGCTTAAAAAACATATGGAGTCTCTGCGACTCAGAAGAAGCAACTTCTTCCAGGAGCGCGATGCTTGAACGAAAGAGACGTAAGCATGGATACCTTACAAAATGCTGGCGATAACGGAGACGGGAGCAAGAAGTCGACGGCGATACCTAGGTTGGCTGCCGGCGGGAGCTCTCGTTCGGTGGAGGAGGGAAAAAAGCAGTGAACAGCGATTGCTAGGGCGGAGATCCGGTCGCCGAATGGGGCTCGCCGGCGGGGGCTAGCAGGCAGGGACGCGAGCGCTAGAAGTGGAAGGCTGTTGCTAGGGCATCGCGTACGTAAGTTTTGGAAACCTACGGCTCGCCGATGTGACGAGGAAGGGAGGAGGTCGGCCGAGGTGTGCGCAAGCCGGGGGTGAGCATAGCAGGTGATGAGATGCGGCGAGGCAAGGTTCACGGGTGAGAGGAGCGACCCATCCCTAGGGCCGACGAGAATGGGATGTAAAAATTATATGCAATTAAATTTAAAAAAAATAATAAAAACATTTAAAGTTTGCCCATCAAAATACATCATCACCGTAAATTAATGTGATTTAACTGCATGCGGTGTCCGTATGCAATAATTTTTCGAATGAAATGGGGGCAGAGGATTGCGTGGGTTCTTATAAGTAGAATTTCTTTTTTTAATCTATTTTCTTATTATTATTTCATTTAAATGCATCAATTTACGTTTAACTTGCTTCCACTCGAAATCATATCAATATGGGAGTCCCTAAGTAAAATCGATGTTCTAGACACGTTCGTGTAATTCGTTTCATCATCTGAGACCATCTGAACAAATTCACCGATGGACAAACCAATTTGAGTTAATTTCACGTGCAGCATGGAGAATGAGATCATTTGGTCCGACCGGAGCCATCCGACAAGAAGAATATCGATGGATTTTCGCCTAAGTGATGAACACAACCTAGTAGAATGATCCCGACAGCGTGTCTCTCAACACAGGACAGAGGGTCTTAAATGAATGTCAAAAATAAATCAAATTTAGTTTTTGAATTTTAGTTTATTATTGATTCTTTTGGAAAATAATCTTAATTTTGATTTAATGATGAAGAGTATGTAGGTGTTACTGTGACTGTGATTTGAATTTTGATGTTTAAAAATTTTAAAATCTCAAGTCCAAAAGGTCTTCTTAAGGCTTTTTCAATTATTATGGGAACTAATCATGAGTTTCAATATATTGGTCTCAATTGACGCTACCGAGAGTTGAGGATTCAAGACAATAAACATGAGACTACAAGGTGTCAAGAAGTGGCTTGAATTTCTAAATTGTGTAGGTCTCAATACTAGTGCTCTAGAAGAGTTAATAGAGAAGTCCAATGAGTTGATCATAGACTCTATAGAGAGAAACATACTTAACAAAAAATGATGCCAACATGATCTTTTATTATTTTATATTTGGCTTGTTTTATAGTTTTCTGTCATGTTTGCATGCTTGAATTGCTTATTCTATTTCTTTATGGTTCATCTGGGATGCTACGAAAATTGCAATTTAGGCTCTTTAACTCCTTAAAATTATAATTCTTTTAACAAAAATCCTTATAAAAATTCAAAGATAAATTAAAATTTAGGATTAAAATTATCAGAATTTTTTAAAACTTTATTTTACTTTCTTGCATGTATGTAGACTGGTTTTAAAACGGGTTGCATAAAATAGTCTTTACCCAAGTTATAATTAATAGGATCTCTATAATTCCTAAGGACCACTCTAAATAAATGCATTATTTTACATGTCCTGAAGATAAGCCTCCATGCTTCTCCAACCCGACTGGTCAAATATAAATTTATACTTAAGTGGTTGTTCAATGAGCTTAGATCGTTAGAAGACTCCCCGACAAAAAATGGAGTGTAAATCCTTTTGTTGTGAGTGTTTCCAACTTTATAGTTGAACCTTTATTTTTCATCCTCTCCAGCAGCATCCTTGTAATTTTGTCGGGTATAAGTCTTCTCTCTCGGAGCTCCACCTAAAAGTCATATGATAGAGTTTCATTCCTTTAACCTTAGGATTGTCGAGACCCCCGCGGACGACGCAATTCACGGATTGGTGACCGGAGATCTCTAGACGTGTTGGGTTGACTTCGTTCACAACCAAGTAGACTTAGGGTCATAGTGATTTGGGATGACTGGTCTGCAATAACCCAAACCCAACAACCTTTACCTTCTAGGGATTAATCCTCTCTCCTTTGACTACCCCTGTTGAGTCACGTCCTTCTTTTGCTTTCGTTGGTATCATCTTGAAAGTTTGACTATCAATAAGCTATTGTCCGTTTGGGATATGACATTCTATCTCATGCCCTTATGACTCGGATGTGCTTTGAAGAATCAGGATTCCCCATCAGAATTATTCGGTTATTTCATAGGTTTTGTGTGTCAATAAGTATGTTACTCAATTAGGGTAGTGAGAGAATCGCTTTCCATCTAATGGCTCATCGAAAACTTTGAAAGCATCCGAACATTCTCATGCAAAATAACAATCCTTTGAGAGTCTTGTGCCAGTCGTTGCTACTAATTTAAACAAATTTTTTTCGGATCAAATGTAATCTTGGGAAACCCAAATATGTAATTAAACAAGTGGGATACATCCTCTTGAGAGCACTCTATACCCTAGAATAGGCAAACAAAATGAATCACTAGTTGTGGGTAGTCTACACAGATATTCGTCCAATGTGCTTCATCCCATCTTGTTTGGGCGGACATTATTGACCTATCATTGTGAGATTTATCACATGTAGGCTCTCTACGTTTTTTATCTTGTTTGTCATCGTTATCGTATGTCAATCATTTCTGATTTTTCTCTTCTCCTGATCACTCTCTACATTCTTCATTTTGTTTGTCATCTTTATCGTATGTTTGTCATTTCTGATTTCTCTCTTCTCCTGATCATTCATATGATATAGAAGAGAAATTTATTTAGAAAATAAAATTATATGATGATAGACAAACTGACGAATTATTTTAAAATAAAAAAAGAAAGAAACGAAAACACAATCATAATGAAGCATATCTTACCGATGGATCATGACCCTTATTTGAGTTTTTTCTAGTATTTGGTTATTTTTTCAAATATAAATACCTTAAGGCTAGTTCTCTATATAAAGTGAGGATATTTACACCATAGAAGGCTCAATGTCACTAAAAAAAACTTTCATTTCACTTATGTTCATGCTTAATGAGAAGATGAAATTTGCATTGGCTTTTCATATGTCTGAATAACTTCATTTCTTTGGGGCATTTACAACGTAGCACACAATCCTAATTTATTTACATATCTCACACCTAAGTATTCATATTTTACACATAACACTAAAATCCTTAGGTTTATGATACCAAGCCATTATAAAGTGTAAATTAGGAATTAGATGTGTTAATACATAAGAATGGTGTGTATTTATGTAAGTTTCCTTATTTTTATCAAATCACTAGGTACATTAATATATCCAATAATCATCTATAAACCTTAATAATGAATAGCTCACATGCACTTACATTAAGCAAAAAAAAAAAATGACATGGAAGAATTATAATCCATGAAGGATCACCTAAGTGTGACCTAAAGGTATATTGTTTTGATAATTCACTCGAATTATAATTAATCAAGAATCACATAAGTGTGACCTGAAGGTATATTGCTTTGATTATTCCCCTGAATCATATACAGATTAAAAATCAAGCATTCTTCAAAGGCTATCTTGATCTCAGGTATCCCAATCAAACAAAGGGGTCACCATAAATGAAATGCACCAAAAAACCATCAAACTAAAATCACGATTAAGCATTCCAACCAAATATCAAGCATTCAAACCATGATATCACCAAATTACTCTAGCATAAATCTCAAACATTCAAACTACGATACCACCAAAATTTGCACCGGTATTAACATGAAGCATTCAGACCACGATATCATTTGAGTACTCCAACCGAAAGTAATAAAATGAAATTATCATCAAGCATTCAAACCACGAGAATTAAACATTACCGCCATACTGGATCACCATCGATCAACTTTCATATGACTCAATCCCAACATAGAAGAAACGATCATACAAATCAACCACAACTAAAAGCCTACACAAATATGGAAACCAGAGAATTTGATGACTCATTGTATAAAAATGGGAGGCGAGTATTTTTTTGAGCCTTCTATCACTAACAAGAGATTATAAAAATGACGAAGAGCTTACAAGCGAGCAACAAAGGAGAAGAAAAAAAGGAAAAAGTAGAGCTAAGAAGCCAACAATAGAAGAGAAGACAAAAAAGAGATTGTTGATAATTAGGTTTAGAACACCAAATAAAATCTTGGATCACAATATGGCATCAGTTTGCAAAATAGAGTTCTTAGTTTCTGCCTTTTTGTAAAAAAAGTAGTTTGAATGTGAACCCCAAACGATACCACAGGTGCTGTTCAAACCACACTGCAACTGAAACGACATGTCAAACATGGCTTAAGTTGAAGGTCCTATATCGTATGTATGGACCTAACCTATTTAGGCTTGTTGCATTTAGGTTCCATAAGCTCCTAAGTAGCCTCAATATTAGACTCCCAATCATACGAGCTTAGCTAAGGTTTAATTATATTTCACACGGAATTAAAAAAAGGATAATTTGAGTTAGTCGCACTAAAGCCAATAAGCCACTTAGGAAACACCATGAAGGAATCCAAAGCCTATATTAGAAGATAGAGAATTCATTCCCTACCCAAACAAAAAAAAAAAAAAATGAAATCAACAAAAGTAACAATCAATCTCAATACATTTTGTTCATTCATGAAACATAGCAGATGACAACAAGATTATCATACCTTAATATCCTCGGACGTGCTATCGGAAAATCAAATTCCTCAAGAAGATTTGTAACTCATTTCACCTCACAAATAATTTGTATCACGACTTTGTGTTTTGCTCCAACATTTGATTTGATTTTTTCTTTCATTTTCTCTTTGACCTAGTTGCTTCCCATATAATTCTAGAATGGAGATATTGTAACATCATTCAAAATAATATAGTTAGCCAAGCATTCACAATAAGGTTTTCATTTTTAGTATAATATCTCTTTTATTAGCAACTTCATGATACATCCAATGATACACATAGTGACTTCCTAATGATCTTGTTTGAGAGTTTGCATGTTTTAACTCATGACTTTTGCAACGAAAGAGACGTTTGGTTTGCTAGCAATAAGATATATCATTTAGTCGACACATATCCAATAAAGAGAGACCTTTAAATACTTCCTTTGTATTGTAGTCTTATAAGCATAAAAATGATATAAATATAACTATCAAACTTTAGGTGTTAGATTTATAAAAAAAAAATAAGAATTGTATGGTAAAATAATAAGTAGTAAATGTAACATACTACTTTCCAACCAAAAAAAAACATAAAATAAATAGTAATTTTCTTCTCTAGCATTCTCATTAATACAACATAAACAAATTGTTTAAATGATATTTTTATTGTATTATTCTATAGACAACTCCATAATTTACAGCCATAATCATCAGACACTGCGGTGACATAATTTCTTTCAGCTTTTATGTCCTGAAACATATTTCCAGGCCAGGTGCAAGGCATTGTCATCTATGTCCGGCCGTAATTCCCAAAACAGGCAGTAGCTTTCAAGAACTGATGAAGATGCCTTCAGATCAAGAGATTTGATGATTTTTTCCTGCAATTAAACAAAAAAAAAACAAAAACAGGTTAAAGGGTATACATTTTGATTCTTTCCAAATATTCATTAAAAGTTATAATTTCTATATTAATTGTTGTCTCCTTAAATAAAAAGTTTCACTATCAGCACTCTTGGAAGAATTTTTATACTTTTCACCATCAACAATGTCTGATGAAGCATAAAATCTACCCTTCACTGTAAACATGCAACCACATAAATCTATATTCAAATATTTCATCTTTGATGTATGTAAATCCAAACTTTCTTCTAATACAATCGCCCCTTAATTTATTGTTCTTAAGTATCACGCAGTCATCTTAGGGCTTGTTTGGGATCAATTTTATTTTTTGTTTTTAGTTTTGATTTTCCTTTGTTTTTTAAAACATGTTTGCTTAAATGCGTCTTTAACATGTTTTTATTTTTGATTTCTAAAAACAAATAAACATGTTATTGAAACAGTCATAATAGCATTTGGGTGTTCTGAATGATGTCAAAAACAACCATAGCTTTAATCAAACATATCAAAAATATTTTGTTTCAAATTAAAACATAAATAAAATAAAAAAATAAAAGTTATCCCAAACGACTGCTTAATATTCTCATTTTCATAACAATAACCGTGATAACAATGATTTCTTTGTATGCCAATACTTCAATCCACACAACATTACAACCTAACCACAATTTTAGTAAAATTGTTTTTATGTTTCTGTGATTTTTACTTAATCACATAAAGTTCTAGAGATCTTTTCATTTTAAACGTTCAAACTTAACTTTATTAATTACAACTCCATCGAAATCTTCTTTTTTCTATATAATAGATCAAAAATATTTGATATATTACACTTATTTCGATGTATTTTTTAGATATTTTTTTCAATGCTCTAATGTTTACTTATTATAATGAATGACTCATCAATTAGAACTATATCAAAATTTACAAGATATTTATAAAAAAAACAATCAGCATACCATACCTGCATTGTAAATTCAAGCTTCAGCATTCCGTAGATGATGCTCATCAAAGGTACACGTGACATTAATTCAATGAGAAGCGCTGATTCTTTTGCATCCTAAAAATGCATGCAGGTAAATATGCAAATGTTTGGATATAAATGTTTCACAATTACTAGTTCCCAAATGTTTGTCACAAATATTGAAATAAGTAGGGAATTCACTCTGCATTTCAACAATAATAAATCCTAAGAAGAATAGTTTCCATTACGTGAAATGGATATGAAAAATAACATTCTCAACAGAGATTTAGAGGAAAAGACTATATGAAACAATAAGGGTTCGTTTAAAATGGAAATGATTAACATAATTGCCATAGTCCTATGTGAAAAATATTTTGCTAACTCGAATTGTTTAGGCTTGATGATATGAACAATATAAGTAAAATCTCTAATGTTACTGGGATAAAAATTCAAATCATAAAAAACACAGATGACATTATATTTGTTGATTCCATTTTCAGGCCACCAAGGTAGTATTGTAATAATTTTGCTACAACATTTCTTCCTAAGGACAATAAAAATAGAAGTCAAACAGAGTAAGCGAATCAATATTAAATAATTAGAAATCAGAGAAACATTAAAGCACACAAGGTGGCAATTAAAAATATCAATTTTTTTCAATAACAAATGCATGATGATGGAAAAAAAAAGACAAGAAATTAAATTGAAATAAGACGTAAATATTGGCTTTGTCGTACCTCTTGAACCGAACATGATTGCTGGGTTTTTGTATCGTCGAGGGAGTTAGATATACAATTTGAAAAATGTCCGTCTAAAGCACGCGTTGCTATACCAACTGCATTGTGCTTAAGGCTTTCAAGTTCATCAAGAAGAACTTTTGCTGAAATGTAAATCAAGAGAAAGAAATAATTCAACATCCAACTAAGGGAATATAATGCCAAGAGAAACAATGAATGCGAGATAAAAGCAAGAGGAAGATGTAATTCACATAGATTTGTTAAGCTAATTATTTCTTTCTATCATTCATCTTAATAGGTTATGTCATTCTACTCTTACGTGATCTTCAATTTATCCAATTATAACCAAAATTAAGTACAAATAAGATTTTTTTTTAGTTGTTTTGATGTGTTCATCTTGTTGATATTTGTGTAGGTTTCATGAATTTTTACAATATCAATAAGATGGATCTTTATGATTTCGAACATATAACTTATTATTCTAAAATGATATTTGGTTTTAAATTTTTTAAAATCTCTATAAGATACTTGAACTTTGGATACTCCAATTTCTAATATAATTCTACCCAAATCACATTTCCCAAAGTAAGAAAAATGAAAAAAGAAAAGCACTGGATGCATAGAAAATATGGCTATATAACTCTTCAAACATGTCTATAGCTTTGCTCAACTTCGCTTTAAAAATTTCCGAAAAAAGAACTATACATGACAGAAAGAGAGTGGCGGAAAATAAACAAATGATCAATAAAATAACTATGAAAGCTTCAAATTTTAATAGCAAAAACATCACCATAAATCAAACTGGTATAGCAAAAATGATAAAATTAAGATGGATGCATGAAAAAAATTAAAAAAAATAAATAACGAATGTTCATAATAGATGAATAATGAGAGAAACAACCATTGAATATAAGTTAGAGAAAAAACACTTTGGTAGTTTGAACAAATATAAGGAATGATAGAGAAAGCAGCAATAAGATGGTTAGATAAATGTAAAGACATGAGATTGGACAATAAAAATGAGTATACCAATTGTTAAATAGATGAAAAAAATGCTAAAAAAGATTTAATGCAAGATGTAGCACATAAGAAAAACAATAGAAAATAAAAATTCATCAAACAAACAAAATAACAGTGAAACCATAAAAAGAGAGAACAAAATTTGAAAATAATAGAAATATCTTTAGTGGAATAACACATCTATGATATTTGTGTTGCGAAAGCTTGTCTAGCAGTTGATAGTCGCAGATTTTTAATATGGACAACTTTTGTTAGATTAAAATTTATAAGTCTATAGCATAGCAAACTACATTTGATTTCTATTTTCTGTGTTGATTTTTTTTTAATTGAAAAGTTATAATGAAATAGAAATAATAAATAATTACATAATATATGAGTGCGAAAGAAAGCAAAGAGGCTAAATTAACAAATAAGATACAAACAAGACCGTAAAACCATATAAATGAAAAAAACTATATAGAAGATTAACATCATGCCTCTTTTAAATAAGTAGTACCAAAAGTTGTTGTACCAATGACATTTTCTTCCCAGATTTTGTTGGCAAAACATTTATTAGTCCTTTCTTTTCAAATATTTCATACAGTTGATCGATAGCAAGAAAATCTCCTAATTTCTTTTACATCTTCTAGCATAAATTCCACCAAAATGATCATGTTGTATCAAGACAAATTACTGTATTATATTTACCCAAAAAAATGGTATAGTAGAGTTGATAAATGAAGAATAAAGATTACCACGTTCCAGCAAAAAGTCAATAAACAAGCAGAGAAAAGGCATTCCACAAGATAAACCTTTAAATGAACTAGTGAATAAAGATAAAAATTGAAACTGGCGACTATAATAAACAGCTTGGGAGAAGAATCACCTTTCATTAAATGGTCTTCAAGCCCCACTTTGCAAAAATGCACTTCAATAACATGTCAATGAAAAATGTGAGATGAAACCAATTAGAACGCTCCACATTGAAAACAAAAGAAATATATATAATAAATAATTGGGCTATTTACATACATACCACCCAACTCCTATGTATTTATAATATCTAAAAGCTATACTTTAATTGTGACATTTATACCACCCAAATCTTTCATGTAACATAAAAAATACCACTATATAACTTTAAAAAAAATGAAATACACTTTTTCATGCATACGTAAGCTGCCACATATGGAAAAACTGAAGTTTAGGTGTCAGATATGCAAATACAGAAGAATTCAGTGGTATGCATGTAAATCTTCCCAAATAGTGTGGCTATTGCTCCAGCAAAAGACAGCCTTCGTATGACTTCTCTTGAGAAACCTCAATAAAAATTCCCTTTTGATAATAATAGTAGTTTTACATATTTCTCAAGAGAATGAATTTAATGATGATAATAAGAATGCCTACTTCAATATCTTCAGGGTATACCAAGGCTCATGTAAAAATTCATAAGGACGCAACTCTTATTCACTGTGCTTAATGAAAACGTAACAAAAAAAAGGCTAAAAATACAAGCAAAGTTCTATAAAATCTCACAAATCTTCAAATATACTATCCTACTACAGTTAATAGAAACCAAATTATTCTAATACGATAACACAATTACTTACATTTAATAATAGTTTGAACAGCATTTTCATGCTTAGTGAAACCAGCTTCAACATATTCATTCAGTTTGTCTGTGCAATTAGCTTTGATTACTTTATCAACCACACTCAATGATTTGGAATGTAGAGTCCTCCTGAGTATCTCTGTTCAGAGAGACATTCATGAGAAATGCAATCTAAGATGAGTAGTATAACCATGAAAGCATGATGAAATTAATATTTTTTGCACGGTTGAAAGCAAGAAAACATAAAGAAACGACATTCCAAAAAATAAAGTTAGAGAAAAAAAATCACAAAAATTACTTCATCACATACTAAAAAAACAATTGATGTGGCGCTCTAATTGACTTTCGTATGACAAAATAATTAGCTTCCACCTTTAAGTAAAATCATAATCTGAATATTTCAATTCCTACAGGTAAATCATAATCCTAAATTATTTCCTATAGTGAAACTAAGTTTCTATGCCTGGAAGCTCCACTAACCCACTGTTTAACTACATAAATTTGCTGCCTTAACAGATGCGAGGGGGCGAGTGGCCGAGTGGGGGTAGAAGCACTGAACCCGACTCCTTTCCTCCCAGAGAGAGAGAGAGAGAAAGGGGGGGAGAAGCAGGTTGGTCTGGTTTATGGCATAGAAAACCAGAGATCCAAATCTAGAAATCAATAAATATGACAAGTTCCAAATCTTTTATCAAGATCTATCAAATATGAAAAGTTCCAAATCTTTTTGGACTCTATCAAGATCTAGTCAAATATGAAAAGTTCCAAATCTTTTATCACAATTGTATAAATCAATAATAGGCTCAAGTAATTCCATAAGAATTTATATGTATCCAATGGCAACAAAATGCCTTCAAGGGAATATAACAGCTGGTGATAAAAGCAAAAAATTATAAGATACTAAAAAAAGAATTATGAGTTGCCTTTGAAGAAAACTCAAAGGAAAAATGTACATGGATAAGTTCTAAAATCCTGCAAATAAGAACTCTTAAAAGTTAAAACATGTATTATTTCTAATGATTGAATTGAGCGCCCCCCATATTAAATTAAACCTAAAGACGAAGTCAAAATATAGAAGAACATAACCTGTTCCTAATAGATCAACATCATAAGCATGTTTAAGATAAATTGAAGAGAGAATACAATCAATTTCAAGTTCACTTTACATGGTTTCAGCAAGCATACACTTACATATTTTCATCGATTAGTCAACACAATCTTTTGAAGGCACAACAGACGTCAAATTATTGGGCCCATTATCAGATCCAAACAAAATCTACCACCAAGAACCAATTTTTTTGGGAATGTCTTCTGATTATAAAGTATGTGTCTCTTAAAAAGAAAAAAGCTTCATATCACAGCTAAAATTTAAAAATGGATCTAGGTAGGCTATATTTTCCATTTCAGAAAATTAACAAATTAATCACAGGTTGATGCTTCACAACCCCGTAATTTTTGCAGGTTTATGCAAAATTTGAGTTTTCAAAAAATTGATGTGCCTAAAACAATCTCGAAAAGAGGAAGAATTCATTTAAATTTATTAGTAGACTTCTTTAAACTACATATGCTTTATGCACAAGTAAACCAAATCATCAAATTAAATAAAAAAAAACATAAATTTGGAACAATAAAGAGCAAATGATTCCATTCTAAGCACATTTAACAATTTTTTAGTATTTTTGACATACACAATTCATAAAATCCTGAAAAGAAAACTTCCAATATTTTCAATTCTCACCGAGTGCTTGATAGAATCCTCTAAGGAACCCCTTCCCTGCATCAAAAAGCTCCTCATGCTTGGCACATCTGAAAATCAATGAAAATTTAAATCATTTAGCGAAGAAGCGCACGGATGTACACATATGTTTAGCTGGTAGCAAGAATTTCTTTCTTTTTCAAAGTATAATATCATAGCTACAAAATTATATAATTACAACAGGAACAATCAACAAGAAATTCCAAAGAAGAAAAAATAAAGACAAGATAAAAGATAAAATGATGGCCAAAGATGAAAATCCTTTGAAATATGAAACTACAGGAAAAAAAAAAACACGCACTTGTAAATTCTTTCTAGACATATGATGAATAAAAGCAACAATACACTAATTTAGATTGATGTCGTATTTGATAAATAAGATTGAAAACCTCATATCCACCAGAGCATCAACTCTTTGATTGCTCTCATTTGAATCATAAGAGAATCATGGTAAAAAAACCGGAAAATTAGTATCAAAGAATTGATCAGCTCTGTGGGGCTAGTAGGGGAAGACACGACAACCTCTAGTTCCAAAGGAGAGTCTGCAATCTGTTGTAATTTTTGAGTGAAATCTTGAAATAGTGAAAGAACAACAACCATAATTTTAGAAGCTCAATTTTTAATATTAGAATGTACGTATTGCTCCTAATAGTTACAAATAGTCACCAATTAAGTGTATAGATGACATGAAAAATTGCGTTTAATCTCCAAACCGAGGCACCCCAAAAAGAATCTACCAATAATAAAAAGGGTCATTTATTTTGCATAAAATATTAATCCAATTCTTATGCATTTACATATCCAACATCTAAACTTTAATTTTTACATTTATACCACCCAAAGCTTTCATATCACATCAAGAATACACCTTTTCATGCATAAAGAAGGCGCCGTGTATGTAAAAATTGAAGTTTAGATGTTAGAAATGTAAATACATAAGAATTGAGTGTTATGTATGCAAATCTTCCAAAAAAAAAGTAGCCTAGTGAACACACAGATCTCATCTTCAACAAAAATGGGTGAGGGATTCCTTGTTTGTGAATGATGATTATGTTGAGTTAGAGCTGAATCTTGATAAAAATGAAAAGGACGTAATTATATGGAATGAAATACAATCTTAAATCATTCAATTCACAGACAATTTCAAAGGAATAAGAAGACCAAGCAAATAGAGCTGCATTTTTTGAAGGAATGAAAGCAGTAAGAAGAGCCTCCTTAAAGTAAGGAGCCACGGAAATAAGTAGTGACAACCAAAAAGAAATTAGATAATCGACTAAAACCTTAGTATTAGCCAATGTGGGAGAAGGAAAATAATGAGTTGAGATTTTAGAGAGGCCGACACGTGTTGCACAAAAAAATGAGGACATAAATGGCATATATTTTTTAAAGAGGATGTGAGAAATTCATCCAAAAAAAAACATGCAACTAAAAAGGATGGCAAGGCAGCAACCTTAGATTAGGCAGACATCAGATAAGTTCCTAGAGAACTACAGAAAGCTTTGACATGCCTCATGCAACGGCACTAAGAGTGATGGGCCAACAGGTGAGAATGCCTTATGCAGGAGCACTGGGGCGTACATAGCCAGTGCCCCCCATAAATGACGCAAGGTGCAGGAATGTTGGTCGATAGCCAATGGATTGCTAGCAATGAAGCAAACTTATCATGAGATACTCATGCTTTAAATCTGATGTAGTGCCCATCAATATGGTTTTACCGTTCTGGCTCAAAAATGATGAATTCGAAGACCAACCATTCATTTATAAAATATAAGTTGTATAGCGGCAATTGTTATAGTTTTTTATGATTAAAATTATGATAAATTCAACATAGAATTTTTGCAACATTTTGCTTTGGCTTCCTAATTATTTTCCTTGAAGATTTGACGTCCTAATGTTTTGATAATAACAGAATTTGATAACAACATCTTGAAAATTCACTATTTGATTACCTTTTTTCTACTTCTTTTGATCTTTCCATTTACTAATTCATTGAGTAGCCTACACTAAGTTGACATCAAAGCAAAATTTTCTATTGACTTCGCACTAGTTTCATCAATTTCCAACATTTTTGCTCGTGTTTACAACAACTACCTATATTTCATTCTCCTCCCACACATTCTCTTTTCATATGCCCACTCTATATACATGTAGGTTCTTCTTCACATTTTAATAATAATTTACCAATTTCTATGTGTTGGCAACTATTTTTGATACAACACGCGTGGGAAGTGTCTTCTTGAGCCTTAAGACGCATTTATGACCTTTGCAGAAGTTTGAGGGTAATGTTCTACTCATATCCAAGCTTTCGAGGTTTGCAAGCAGCTTGAATTCCCCTCTGACAGACTTTTAAGCAGGCCCACGTTTGTGAGGGTCTGGCGTGACCACGCCTGGATTGGGTGTTGCCATGCCCAATCCCAGGCGTGGCCATGCCCAACCTTGGGATTGACCGCACCCGAATCCGACGTGCCCACGCTGCAAACTCCCGAAACACGCCATGCAGCCCAATCTGAGAGCCCGACGTAATTACACCGGGTCTCGGGTGTGACCACGCCGAGTCACCTGGCCTTTCCGATTTGTATTCTCGGCAACTCCTCCAACCCGACCGAAAAATGCTCTTTAGCAACCAAAAACTTGAATGAGGGAATAATTGAGGGGATAATTGGCAAGGGAAGTTTGGAGGTGATATGTGTCCACTTTTGGGACACTGGGAGAGTAAATAAAAAAAGATAGAGAATAAAATAAAATTAAAAAATATAAGCAAGAAAAGAGAAAAAAGGGAAAAAATTTGTTAGAAAGTCTTAAATATTCATTTGGCTATCAATCTATGGTTCCACTGCATCTTTCAACATCTTCCCAAGTCCTCTGCATCAATATGGAGATTGACCATGCTCTATGTAATCATTGCCATTATAAGTTGAATGCTTTTCTTTGTTAACCGGCAAAGCTAGTATAATATTAAGTGTGAGTAGGTGTGAATATTTATTTGCTTAAGTTGTAAGAGAATCCTATACTTTGTGTAATAAACATCAATTAAAATAGGTATGATTGAAACTTTTATATTCTATTTTGTGTTGAATTTGTTTCTTTATATTTAAATTCTAACATGTGATTGAAATGCGAAATTAATAATTATCATGTTTGTTCAATTACTTATATTAATTCTGCCGACCTTCAAATTCATATTTCCATAAATTTTGACACACTGAGAAGTGAATATAAAAGTTTGTCGAAAATGGTGGAGCAAATTGAACATGGAGTAGATAAAATAAAAATTAGAATAACTATTAGTAAAAAAATCTTAAATTTACAAATATAAGTTTTATTAAAATAAAAGCTAGAGGAAAGATTAGGCTAGATTGGAAAGGTTTGCTACTTTGTTTGCAACTTCTCCTCTTTTTAGTTTATCGTTACATGCATATTACCCTTTATTCCTCACAATTGCCATGCTAAACCCATCTTGCTCATTTCTCTCTTATTAGAGTAAACTTGGAGACATTTGATCAAAATAACATTATAATTGTCTTGCAACAAATAAACAAGCTTACACATTTATAATTAAAGATGAAGACCTCAAAGCAATTTATTAGAGTTATGGATCAATAACTCAAAAAAGCCATCTATTTCACAAGGGGCCAATATCATAATTAAAGATTCTATGTTCTATGATCATTGTCTTACAATAATATGCTACAAATTACATTGTTAAAACTGGACGGCATGATGAAAAGTGGAATGGAAAAAACACTCCACAGAAAAAAAAAAAGGAAGAAAAAAACTATAAATTTCGAAGCAAATTCATATAACTCAAGTGCGTAAGAAAAGGTACATTGTCATAAAGTCCGTGAAAATAGTATCAACAGCCTTATTGGTCGAATCTTCAAGCAAATTTAAGTGATCCATTTGATTGCCTGGAGAAGGTTTAGATAGATAAGCAATAAGTGCATAAGATAATTTATAGATCTTTTAAGAAAATATATAAATCTAAAACTGTTACTCTAAGATAAAAGCCAATATGGAATTCATGTCTAAACTGTATTTATACTCATCTCACAAGAATGAGATTAACAAAATTTTCCATGACAGAATAATTAAGAAGAAGATAATGATTATAATGACTAAAGCATACACGCTAATAATGAACACCATTTTGTATGCCTAACTACTTAATATAAACCATCAAGTTCTAATGAACATTTAAGGTGTCAATCATATTTGAAATAATCCAAAATCGTATATTAAGCAATCAACTGTAGACTCCCAGATTATTTCTATAAAAAATTATGATTTGAGGGCTAGTTAAAAAATATGAATTTATTTTTTTTTGTCTGAGTGACTGTTCAGTAGCATGATTTGGGCAGGCAATAAAAACTTAACATGAATCCCGTCAATCAGAAAAAAGAAAAACCATTTTTAAATCCTCCCAATAGTTAAGTCCCATATCTCCCCCGTTTTACCTTGAAAATTCCGGATTTAACTTAAATGAGCAACACACAAACTCTTCGGGGCTATTTGGTTGCAGGATTTAACCAAAATCCTGCCAAACGACAAAAATGACACATTTAATGAATCCTGACGGGCTCTCGAATCCTGTTTTTTCCTCCGTTTAGCCCTAAATCTATGGCTTAGTAAATCCCGTTGAAGGACGGATGAACGGGATTTAGAGAAGCTGAAGAGCACAAAGGAGGGGTGGAGGAAGGGGAGAATGATGAGTGTTACCTTCTTCGATGGTTTCTGGTAGGAGCGTAGCAGGAGGAGGAGAAAAGATGGGAGTTTCAGAGGTCTTTGTACCCATTGATCTGGTCGTTGTCTTCCAAGCTAGCTTTTAACCTTGGCGAGGGTTTGGGGCGGGAGAGGGGAAGGTTTTTTTTGGGCTTTAATTTAATTTTTTAAAGTTAATTCTCATTAATTTAATTTATTATTAACTAACAATTATTTAATATGTTATTTGATTATAGTTAGGTAAATTTAAATGTTTTTATTTTATAATTACTTAATAAAAATTAATTAATTTAATTCTAATAATTAGTGTTTATTCATTAAATAATAAGTATTAAATTATTTAAAATACAATTAGTTTATTGAAGTTATTATCAATGATTAATTAGTTCAAAAAAGTTTTTAATTATTTATTAGTATAATTATAAATAAAATTTTAATTTTAATTTAATTATTCTTAATAGTTATATTATAAATATGTTGAATGAAACTATCATTTCAAGTAACTTATTTAAATATTGAGATAAAAATATCAAACAATTTCACAAGGTTTATTTTGGTTTAACAGTTGTTGTATCAAAAAAATTTTAAGATTTAAATACGCTAGATTTATTAATTTTGAATTTATTGTTTTGCTAGCCAAATAGCCCCTTCATCTCCTTCTCCTCTTCTCTAAAATAATTGCATATATTGTTTTTAATATAATCTTGTTTCTTATTGCTCTAATCCATGTGCCAATATAATTAATTAATGAATTAATAAATTAATGGTTCGCTTTCTTATAAATTTAAAATTATTATTTTTTATTTCATAAAAAAATTGAAAATTAAGTTCAAAGGGAAAAAATAAGTAATTTAAAATTTTAAATTTGTGCCCTTGAAATAAATTTATAATTATATACATTCTAATATAATATGTATAAATATAAATATAATAAAATGGCAAAATAATCTTAAATTATTTACATGAGATCATTTTAATCTAATAATTTATAAAAAATATGAAAATAATTTAAGGGCTTTTAAATTTGGATTAGAATAATCTTATAGAAAGTTATTAAAACTTAATTTTAAAGTAAATGAAACTTATTTTAATATTTTTCATAAAATTTTGAATTTAAATGAATTTATTAAATAATCCGAAACTATTTTATCACTTCACTCAACGAGGACGCCCCTTGATCTCTTGTTGAATCTAGATATGTGTGCGGCTCCGAAGACATCGTTACTCTGCTGGAAATGGCCATGGGATGCTCTCACAAATCCTAAGAACCCTAACCCTTGCGGGAACTTGGAGGTCCCATGGCTCTTCAAATCCATGCAGAACCTGGGATCCCTTGCGCGGACTCTGCTCTTCAATCCGGCTGCTGTCCCCACCTACGGCGAGCATTCTGTGGAGCTCGGCCGTAAGTCTGCGAGGTTGTCGATGGCCACAGCACTCTCGCGGGAGGAGCAAGGAGAGGCGGAACAACGAGCACTGGCGTCGGCGCTGGCCAGCGCGAAGCCAGCGACGGTTATTGAGTTCTACTCGCCCAAGTGCAGGCTTTGTAACTCTCTACTTGATCTAGTGCTGGAACTAGAAGCCCGGAACTCGGATTGGGTTAGCTTTGTCCTCGCTGATGCCGAGAATGAGAGATGGCTTCCCGAGGTAAGTGTTTGAAGCTTATATGGATTTTTTTTTTGCTAGAGAGTATTATATGGTGGAAGGAAGAGATAGAAATGAAGATTAGACATGAAAATCCATGACTTGTTTAGTTTAGCATTCCTTAGCTTTAGGGATTTAAGTGTTCTTTGGAACATTCAACGAGTTTCAGAACCTTTTTTTCAATCGTTTCTTCTATCCATCATGTTTGGTTCCATATAGGGGTTGACATATAGATTGCAGCTATCAGGTTTTTTGTCTTTTGGATAATTTGTTTTTTTATGTGAAAAGAATGCAGAAGTGTTCAAATTCATGCAACAACAATCAAACACAAAAGATTTACGTGGTGCGACGTGATTCACTTACGTCTGGGGGGAAGGAGATTTCACTAGCACTGAATGGGAGAAAGAAAAACAACTTGGAGTTACAACTCAACACTTCTCATCATAACTTTGTCATAAACACGAAGTTCCTTTTACAAAGGAGGACTAGGGGCATACAAGCAAATTAAATAAAAAAACAAAATTACCCTTAATTAAAGAAAAATCATAAATGCAACAATCTCCACTTTATCTCTTGCTTCCAGATAATTGAGAGAGAACCAAATAAGTTTTAAACTCCAAATCTGCTGCACCAAAATGGTTGTTTATGTACCCCCGGGAGAGATCAAACCTCATGTGTTCTTCAAAATGCCTGACTGAGAAATCAGTTCTGAGCTTGGATGTTCACCAAACTCTTATTATAGGTGAAATTCTGGATTGGTAGTATCTTCGTGAGCATGTCTGATGGATTCTCCTTCATATCTATCTTCTTTAACAAAATCTCGTCTTCTTTAATAAAGTATCGAATAAAATGGAAGGGATCAAACTTCATGTGTTCTTTAAAATGCCTGACTGAGAAATCAGTCATGAGTCGGATGTTCACCAAACTCTTACTGTAGTGAAATTCTGGATTGGTAGTATATTTGTGAGCAAGTATGATGAATTTTCCTTTGTATATATCTTCTTCAACAGAGGCTTGTCCTCTTCAATAATTTTCCGAAAAAAGTGGTATCTTACATCAATTTGCTTGGTAGGAGCATGATATTTGACGAGCTTGTCAATCCATTTGCGGATTAATTTATATCAAATTGGAAGATAATTAAAGACTTTTGTTACTTTTCAAGAATTTGTTAAAATAAGGAAATCACTTAAATAATACTTCCAATGATTCTAAGTTTTTTTATTCTATGGAGTCACTTAAATAATACTTCCAAAGAATTTGTTAAAATGAGAGACCAGACACAGTTATTAAGAGGGTTTGTATTGGAGAACTTCTTATTTGATTTTTCTACTTATCATTAATGAGGTTGTTAATGCTCGTAGGAAGCAATTCGAGCAACCTATGGATAAACACAAGAATAGTTAAGGGATGAAAATCGCACATCTCAAATCCGTGATGATTCATTTTAGGTTGGGGTGAAACCTGCTTTATAAGCTTGGAAGTTCATTCATGTCAACTTTCAAAGCACAATTGTGGTTTGATTGTTTTTTTGCGTTCTATTTAAATATTAAATTAGTAAGAAACACTCTTATGTTGGGGGCAATCTCAAGTGCAACACCAAAATGACAAAGCCTCAGACATAGTTGTAGTTAGAATTTTTTTTACTTCTATTATACATCATTATGTTTAGCAAATTTGGATTTAGGGGCAACCTCGATTGAAGCCTTAAAAACATATTGATGCAATTGAACAAGTCATTGTATTCACTTATGCATCTGAGATAACTTATTTGATAATTATTTCTTTTAAATATTCCCATAAACAGTTTATATTTAACAAAATATCTCAAGTAATCTTCAACGTTTGACACACAGTCTTTAGCTGGACTTATAATCTCTAGATGAGAATGCAACTATGGCTTCAAAAGGGTAGTAATGATATAAGCACATCATCTTTGATTCAGGATACACAATCTTTAGCTGGACTTCTACTCTACGGATGAGAATGCAACTATGTTGAGCAAATTTGGATTTACCAACACCCTCAATTGAAGCCTCAAAGAGATATTGATGCAATTAAACAAGTCATTGTATTTACTTATGCATCTGAGACAACTTATCTGATAATTGTTTCTCTTAAATCTTCTCATAAACATTATGTATTTAACAAAAAATTCTTAAAGTGATCTTCAATGTCAATCTTTAGCTAAAGTTCATTTCTTGTTAGTCAAAGTAGAATCGATCCTACAGAGATTCGATTCAATATATTTCATGCATGTTAACTTTGTCGAGTAAAGCTCTGATAGACAACCTCGAATAAGCTAAATTTTTTTATGGATCCTTACTAAACTTTTTCACATATGTTAATATAATTGAGTAACATTATGACAAACGACATCAGATAGGTAAAATATTATTGGTCGATTTTCTTTGACTTCTTCTTTATTGTCTAATTTAATTGAGTACCACACCAAAAAACAACTTTGAGCATGTCAAATAACCTTGGTTGATTTTTATTTTTATTTTATTTTTACATTTTCTACATAGGCTAGCGTTATCCACTAATATTTCAATAAACAACTTCAAATAGGTCAAATATCATTGATGTATTTCTTTCAATATATTTCATAAACTCGCATTGTTGAGTAACACTTTGACATATTAACCCAGATAAAACCTTTCTGTAGACATTGACATTCCAATTTTTTCACATCAACACCATAAATATTGTCATAAACTTTTTAACATGATCTTGAATATTCTCTTGAAGTCCACAAATTTTTTTGTCTTTTATGGCCTCAATAACACTGTCATTGCCAGCCCAAGCCCAGATGTGAAAATTGGAGGGTTGCATTAGGTAGTCGACAGCAAGTGTAAAACTTGTTGAAAAAAAATCATGACATGAATCATTTTGATCATTGTGTAAGTGTTAGGACATCACCTGAAAACAACGCGTTGTATAGCTTGAATACAGTGAAAAGTGTGCAAGAGTCGCTACATCGGCGCCCGGGTGTAGTGTCAAATAAGCAAGGGTTCCTACATTACGGATGAATGCAGATAAAAAAGGTAGTCCATGATTCTAATGAAGCTAATATTATAATAGAATCTTGGAATAGAGGTACTCTCAATGGTAAATTAATGGAATTAGTTGATATTATAATTTATAGAAAAATTAATATGTTATGTATTCAAGAGACTAAATGGGTTGGAGAAAAAACAAAGGACGTTGATAATTTAGGTTTTAAATTTTGATATTCTGGTAAGAGTCGCACTAGAAATGGTGTAGATGTTTATAGATAAGAGTTTGAAAGATAATGTTGTAAAAATTAATAGAGTTGGAGATAAAATTATAGCCCTTAAGATTATCATTGATACTAAGATTTTTAATATTATAAGCGTTTATGCTCCTCAAGTAGGTTTAGCTGCAGGATCTAAAGATAAATTTTGGAATGACTTAGAAGACTTAATACAAATGATACCTCTTACAGAAAGAATTTTTATTAGAGGAGATTTAAATGGACATGTCAGTAGAGTGATAGAAGACTTCAAAAATACTCATGGTGGCTACGATTTTGGAGTAACTAATGAAGAAGGTAGAACTATTTTAGATTTTGTTTTAGCGTATGATTTTGTTATTATTAATATTTTATTCAATGAAAGATATGAACATTTTATTACGTATAAGAGTGGATCTAATAAAACACAAATTGATTATTTTCTTATGAGAAGAAGAGATCGTTGAGATTGTAAAAATTGTAAGGTCCTTCCTAATGAGAATTTAAGTATCCAAGATCATTTATTAGTTTTAGATTTTAAGATGAAGAGTTATAAAATAAAAAATATTAGGATTTATCATCGTAGAATTAGATGGGGGAACCTAAAAATTATAAATAAAATTATTTTTATGAGTAAAATTCGGAATTTCAAAATTTTGGATGTTCATGAAAAAGCAAATGTTACGTGAGATAAAGTAACAAACACTATTAAACAAATAGCAAAAGATGTGATTGAAGAATCAAAAGAAAATGCTTTTATAAATAAAAATAGTTTGTGGGGGAATAATAATGTGCAAGAAAAGATAAAATAAAAGCATTTGTGTTATAAGAATGAGTTTCTATGTAAAAACTTAGAGAATTGGAAAAAATATACGGCGGCCCGTAG